TAATGCAAATAACGCACTCAAACTAAAAAGAACTAAATATTACTATTAATATAATTATAAATTAATCTATAAAATCATAATAATTATATAGCTAGTTATATTTACGATTATAATTATATGCATATTGCTCATGATTTATTTAAATTGCAAAAATTAATAGGTATTATTTGTATTAGATTCGATTATTAATTGATTAATTGATTGTTGTATCACAACATTCAAATCCAAGAACTTAAAATGAGTTCCAGTGAAAACGCATTGCTATTTTATTTTATTTAACATCAAATAATTTTTTTAAGTAATACATTATATACTCTCCGGTCTCTGCTCTTTACAAACTAATCCAGTAATAATACATAATATAGAATAATATTTATAATATATTATGTTAATAAATATATAATAGTTAGTCAACAAAACACGAATAACATATTTATAATTCACGCATTACAGATCGGTTTATCAATGGAGCATACGGCTAATTACTACCTATAGTTATATTCTAATATTAGATGATAAGAATGATAAGATTAAACTCGATTTCATAGAAGAAAACACTCAATAATTGTGAAATGATGAACGCACTATTAAAGCAGAGTAAGTTGAATGATACACGTTTATAGTTAACGTCGCTTAAATATGTACCGATATTACTTGTGAAATTATTGTATAGGATTTTGGTGAGTTTTCAAACAGCAAACCTAACAGTCAAATACTTTAAAGCTAACTCATGATTTCATACAATATATTATTTACTTAAATTAAATATAAAGATTAGTTGCTATTGGATAAATGATTATATATTTTTTAATTTTTTTCGTAGGTAGGTATTTAAAATATCTATTTCTCAAACTAAAGTATTTATTTTTAAATGAAAAAAAAATAAAATACTGAATTTTACGAACAAGAAATTAAATCTAAAAGTAAGTATTTTATTAATATCGATCACTATTATTAATTTGAAAATAATGTTACTATTATTATAAAATTTTAGTATGGAATTGCATGACTAATAAACTGAAATTGTATTTTTCTTAATTCAGAAAACATAATTACTTATATAATTTCCATAATCATAATCTCTTATTCTTATTGGTGCCAAATGTATAATAATGTAATATAATCGAGATTATCATGTTATACTGTTTTTTAAATTACATTGGATTTTTTTAATTCAAAACGGTATTTATTTTCAAAAATATATTTACACAATACAGTAGGTATACCTACAAAGTATGAAGTCATTAAATTGCGTATTAACTATATGTAGATTTAGTTGATAATTTAAACCTATAAATTAGACGTACATAAAACTAATTACACTTACACAAATGCTCATTATACAAAGTATATAGTATAGGTAATTGTTAATTATTGATTAAAAATTGATTTGTATTTTTATAATAAGATAATGCGGGAACACAACACCTTTCATACTTATGAAAATAAAATGATATAGGAACCTAGGAACTAAGCAAATATCAAACATGGTTGAATTTAAAAATTTGAGTAAATAAGATGTATTATTTATAGCATTTACTAAAATGTTGATTTTCTTATACACATAATGTAATGCAGCAAGAAAAATCAAACGAAAATATAATTTCCAAAAAAAAAAAAAAACTTGGGTACCTAACAAATAAGTGATGTCTTCGATCATAATAAGTAATTCTTGGAAAATATTAATAATTAGTGCCAGTTAAAAAATTAAAATATATGATAACTGATATCACGGTAGTGAGTATTTTAATCATTTGTGATAAATTAACTCAAAAATCCCTACCAAACACCTAAATTATCTCATTCAAATAAAGATGGGATGATAATTTTTCTAGAGATTAGAAATTCCTTTGTATTAGGTTAAAAACATTATCGATTGTTAAAAATATAATATTTTTAGTGCATGTGATTTGGACGTGGTAATTGTTTTAATCACAATTTAATTAATGATTTATGGAATAGTTAGTGTTGGCTATAAACCAAATACCTGCTGCATCATGATATAGGTAACAATTTTTTGATTAAAAAGTGACAAAATTACAAATAAATATAATGTAAGCATCTACAGGTAGGTCCTACTTAGTTTTAAATTATATTAAGACGTCACTTACAAAATTCCACATTTTTTTATTGAATTAAGAGGAGAATACCAGATTTTTTTTAATTTTTTTAAAATATCTTTATATGTATTCTTATTTGTAATTTAAAGAATTATATTTTAACTACTTAACCTATAATCTTGAAAATATTTTCATAATTAATAACATTACTTAGTATTTTCTAGTTTCTATGTACCTACCATAATTTTCAACAATAAAAAAATTGTATTTAATTTATTAAAATATTAAGGCACTTTGAATTTAGATTATCTTTAAATCACTCAAATATACAAACTGATACTAAATTATTTGATTACTATAAAAATAAATGTGTACAATTACATACTTAACAATTAATATACTATAATAAAAACCTATTTAGACACATTAGTTGTACACTACTAATAATACCTAATTTATTATACTAATATCAATTTTGTTATAGTTAAACATTTTTATGATTCGTCAACTATCAAAGAATGGAGTTCACATAAAGCTATTTATTTATTTATGAGCTTTTAGAGAAATCAGAAAGGCTACGAGGTTAGTTGAATAATGGTTATCTTACTATTTTGCTTCCTAATTAAATAAATAAATATTTATTTATTTATTTGATATTTTTATTAAAAAGATGTATGTGCCCGTTGTGTAATATCCGTTTTATTAATGACTAACGCACACCACACCAAAACTTATTTTCTGTAGTTCCAATGTTGTGTTGTTATTTCAAATATTAATGTAAATTATCAAACTTAAAGGTAAGAATATTTCTGTGATTTCGTATTAGTTTTTACGATGTTTGATAAACATGTATAAAACTATAATAATTATTTCGGGTGGGAGACTTTTATGATGTCATATTATGTTTAAAATGTTTTTAAAAAACCACATCAATCATCATCAAATGTTCACTATTTTCTATCTAGAAACTAGATGATAAATTTCTGACCTAGGATAATGAATTATTTCCTACATTCAATGAATATAGGACAATAACGAGAATAACAATTTTAGTAATGAGTGAAATAATAGATATGAGATTATGAAAAACACTCAAAAGCGTTATTTAAACAATTTATTTTTGTACATTAAAAGAATTTTACATATGTTTTGTTATTGTTTCATTATAAGTAGGTAAAGATCATTATGTAGGTACTTATGATAGGGATTATTTAGGCAGGAGAGTGAAACATTTACAACCTGCCAAGGATTATAATATTTTACATTTTTAACTCTTACAGTAGCACGTTAAAGGCTTCTATACAATAAAATAATTATAAATAACATAGGTACAATTAAATAAGTAAGCTAACTATATTAAATAATAAAAAATTATAATTTACTAACAATTATTATATTTATCTACCTAATATAAATTCTAAGCTTTTATGGAAATGCTGAAAAATATATTTTAAAGTTATTTTTACAAAAACTTTTAATATAAAATAACAAAATAATTCTATCACATTTTTTATTATAGTTTTAATTCACGGAAAAAAAAGAAATATAGTTCATGGAATGGAGTCCAATAGTAACTATAAATATGGTATTAAATCCACATTTTCACAAGTAAGTTATTTTTGTAAGGTAATATAAATCTTAATTTCTTAAAATAAGTTTTCGATTGTTACACTTTTAATTGAAAAAAATATACATTATGTATTATTCAACTATTTGTAGTTTTTAAATTGTTTTAGCATATAAATCATAATTTTAATGATTTACAACTAAAAACTGAACTTTTTAATAAGTGTTAAATAAATAAAAATTAGTAATGATTTTTTTTATAGTGTTTGGCGTTAGTCGGAGCTGGATTCTTACAAGTCGGAGTCGGCACAGAGCTAATTTGTTCGACAGTCATCATCGGAGCATTATCAGACCACTCGAATAAAAATGAATGGCTTACCATGACCAATGAGCAGATGTCTTGGTTTGGTGTGTAGTATATGTTTATAAATATATATAATATATATATATACTACCACATTCACCGCACCAACGGCTATACACACACCCAAAACGGACGATTGCTCCGAATTCAATACACCTCCAACTTTTGCCCAAATTTTTCAACGCACACGTCTTAACAATGTGTAATGATTTTCCAAAATCGAATTTAAAAAAATATAAGTATAAAAAACTAAAAATTGAACGATGCGGGACAAACACGGTGAAACAGCTAGCTCTATCCGGGGCGGCGGGGAGGATTAAACTGCTATATATCTATATCAATGACGTATATAAGGGGGGGGCCTTGTGAGCTACAGCCCATCTCCCTGAAATTACAGTCATTAACTATTAAATATAGCCTCTTGGTGCTAGATTATATTTTGTCAGTTGCTATGTATTAGCCCACCCCAAAAATGATTTATAAATACGCCACTGAGCTATATATATATATATATATATAAATATATATATATATATACATTATACACCTATGGTAGTATAACCTTAACATATTTTACCATATGTATTATGTGTGTCCATCGCAGGAAGTCTGTTGTACCTTTGCACACCTCTGGGCAGTCTGATGTCGTCGCTGGTGCTGGATTGGCTTGGCCACAAGAAATGCATGATAATCACAAACATACCGTACTTGGTGTCTCAGATCATGTTTTTCTACGCCGAAAACGTGGAGACCATGTACGCGTGCTCGATAATGATGGGGCTAAGCGTAGGATTCTCGGGCGGCCCGTTTTCTGCGTACATAGGTGAAGTGTGCGAACCGAAGCTCAGGGGTGCTCTGATGTGTGCCACGAACGTGTTCTACTTCAGCGGTTCACTGCTGTTCGCCGCCATCTACGCCATCACCAGACAGTGGAGGTTGACCGTACTCATAAACATGGCGATACCTATCATAACTATTGCGATTTTGTGCGTGGTGGGTAATTATAATATTATAGTATCTACATATTACTATAAAACGTATTTGTAAAATATAATTAGTGGTTATTTACTTAATAGTAGGGAGTCATTTTAACACTTATTTTGTATATTATATTAAATTATAACTATTTAGACACGTTTCAGATGAAGACTTATACAAATACGTATATTGTGAATATGTTTTTTGAACCTTTGTATTCACTAGAAAAATACATTATATCATAGCATGCAGAATAATAATTATTATTTGTGACAAAACAAAAGTTTATAGCGATAGATAATATATACCTAATATCTAAGTATTTAATATTTTAGACCGAAAAAAACCTTTTAGTTTTAAACATCACCATCAAAAATTAATTTTCACACATTTCGTTTGCATAAAATATTACGGAACGAAGAAGAAGAGTGAAGGGGGTGGGGGAAATTAAAACTAAAAATGTGGATTTTATTGAATACGACTTTTAACGTAAAAAAATTCTAAACTCCTTGTGCTATTTATTTCATAATATATCATATAAGTACGACTTAATATAATTTTATTCTAAATACAAAAAAAAACTGTTATCGATAAGACTACTGTATCATAGCATGGCAAAAAATACATATTTTACCGATCTACGATCTATAATCGTATATAAAATATACCACCGACCGTATAGCACGAAGATAAAAACACCCATCAACTATATAGGAGTAATAATTGTTGTATACACAGAGTCCAGATTCTCCGATGTGGTTACTGTCCAAAGGCAAGAACGAAAAAGCGCAACGGACTCTTGGCAAGTTACGTGGATGGGTGACACACGATAAATGTTCTAACGAATTTCACGAAATGGTAGTGTTCATGTCTGCAAATAAAAACTCGTCGAGTAATTTTTTATTTATTTTTTCACCAACATTATGAGCTACACTAGCGCATGTTGTCTACAATAATAAATCTATATTAATTATTTTCATGGTTCGATACAGACAATAAAAATGACAAAACTGATTCCGAAAGTTCTTGGAAACAACTGCTTCAGCCAGACGTGATTAAACCTTTTCGTCTACTACTGATATACTTCTTCTTTTCGAACTTGTTATCCGGAGTACCATTTTCACCGTATCTAGTAGAAGTATTTATGACGTTTGGCGCCGATGTCGATGTCCAATGGACCATAGTAAGTATATAACTCAAAAACTAAGAGCCAAGAGGTTAAAAATTATTATTTGCATTCAAAAAAAAATTTAAAAAAAAAATGCTTTTAATATTTGTATGTTTATAATTTAATGTTAAAATCTCATTAAAAAAAAAAAAATAAAAAAATATTTGTGTGATTATCTGGCAGCTAATTATATTATATTATAGTGTATTTATTTAATATAGGCGTTTTCGTTGGGAATAGCTATAGTTGGAGGCATATTGACTGTTTTTATGGTGAACAGACTTGGAAAACGATTCCTTACATTAACGACGTTGTCGATTTGTTCAATTTGTTACATATCAATTGGAATGATTGGTGTTTATTGGACGAGTTCAAAACAAATAAAGTCTTGGTTATTACTAACATCCTTCCTCATAAGTACGTTCGTGGCATCGTTCGGCATAATGCCTATTGGATGGATACTTCTTACTGAAATATTCCCCATGAAGTGAGTAGAAAACAAATGAAACTCTAAACATATAAATATATGAATAAAAATTATAACAATAATGGTACAACAATATAATTATAATTATAATTTGTTTTTATTTATGTAATAATAAATCACAATAATTGACAATTATTGGCGAGTACTCTGTACTTAAGTCTCAGAAATATAAACAATGCCTGTGTAAATCTACGCGCATTGATAACATTTAAAGAGTAATGGGTACTTACTACTTACACTGAAGATTAAAATAATAAATTATCACACAATTTCCAATGTAAACAGCATAATGCATATTACACTAGTTTATAACACAAATAAATCAATAAGAGTATTAATATAACACTGAAATATTGTTTATTGTTAAAATTAATAATATGTTACATAATATATACCTATAATATAGACAAAGACATGTTGTAAAAGATATATGTCATCGAGAAAGAAATTTCACTTGAATCTATATTACATAAATAATAACAATAAATGTTATTAACACGTCTTGTTTCAGGAGTAGGAACATTACCTGTAGCATTTGTTCAACGCTGTCTTACATTCTCAGTTTTTTCATGACCAAGTATTATACAAATGCCGTCTATTTAGTGGGTTTCTACAATACATTTACAATATTTGGATTTGGAGGTTTAATCGGTTGTGTGTATTTCTATTTTTGTCTACCTGAAACTGAAAATAAGACATTGCAAGAAATATCGGAATTTTTCAAATAAACTAAACAAAATTTAATTTTGAGTAAACATCTTTGTACGAGACGACTGTAATAATAATATACACTATAAGGTATTTAAATTTAGGTTTCAAATCTAATTATGTGTATTATAGTACATGTATTCTAAGGCATAACACATATTATGCCTATTGTTGAAATTTTTACATTATTTGTCCACATGAAGTTTATATATTCGATATAATATTTGTATATTTGTTTTAATAATTAAATATTCTATTTTTTTTTTTTTATATGTAAATAAAATAATTAAATTAGTACTATTATATTTTTCTAATAATTGTTCCTTGTTATTACTAAATATTATATTGTATAATTTTATTTCCCATAATGTTGTATAGTTAAAATGTTCGATGACAAAAACCTAAAAGTACCATTAATATTATAAAAAAATTGTAACCATGTAATCCAATAAATGTAATTTGTATTTACAATATATAACACTAATCTTAAGAAAATTTCACGTAAAAACTAATGTCCGGCTAATAACCAAAGTTGTTGAAGCCATATTCCTTTAAATAAAAAAAACCTAAAAATATTTTATATAATTACTATTGAAATAGTTAAGACTTAACCGTAATTTTAACTTTTCTCAATTTGTTCTGGATAATATAATTTGAAAAATTTTAAATATTAATTTAATATATTTTTTTTAATATTTAAAATATTTGCTTAAATTATAAGCAATAAAAAAATTTTACGGCATACCAAAAAGACATGGGTAATACAAAACTGCAATCTTTCATAAAAAATTTGAATCCTTTCGTTCGAAACCCAATAAGTTACGTAGGTATATTTATTAATTAACATTGGAAAAAAAAAATTTGTAGGTTGCAATGTACTTAATCATATTTTAATTGTGATACAGGTATTGACACTATTTTATTAAATTTTTATGTGTTCATGTTTTTTTTTTTTTTTTATATTATTATTATTTTGATAATTTACAAGTGTATAATAATCAATCACATGCAATATTAATTGTTTCCTTCTTTTTGTGTAGGCCAGTGAATGTTATACGTTAATAGTTTAATAATAATATTAACGAAGTATAAAAACCATTATACACAGTATACTCATTCTTATTTTAAAAATTGTTTAAATAATGAAATTTATTCAATACGTTATATAAAGCAATTATTATAGCCTTATACATTTTGGGGCCTAACCTATCCATCTAAATATCTAATGTTTGACAAAATTAGGTAACCTAACCTAATTAATTATTATTTGAAAATCATTTTTTTTTATTATTATTATTATTATTAGTGGCGATGAAAATTTTAAAGAGGTAGTTGATAGTGTTGATACATTTACATTTATTCTATACTTAAATAATATTATACTTATAGTCTATACTCTTACTTGTACAATTAAATCTTACGTTATTTTAACATTAACACCACTAGTTATCGTGTATATACTTCAACTCCTTGCGCATAATATATTGTATCCTGTCTCGTTTATATAATATATATATATATTTTTTTATATAATTTAATAATAAGAATTACTATTCCTGTGATAAAATAATAAAATAAAACTACTAGTTTCATCACAGAAATATTTGCATTTTAAGTATTATCAACGATATTTATCATACGGTTAAGTGTTTATTTACACACGATTCATATACAAAATACACATAAGATACAGAAGTCAATATAACCTTCGGCTGAAAACAAACTCCATAGTAGTCCATACCTAAATATTTTGTTATATTAATTACAAGAAATACTTTATTCTTAAGAAATATGTGAAAATTCTAAGTTTTGTAGATAAAGCGTGATTTTTTAGGTAATAATAACACAATACTGCAGGTTTATAAGTTTTTGGGTTAACAAATAACCAAAATAGCTAAGCGATTTATTTAAAAAATATATTTAAAAATAAAAAATGTTTTAAAAATAATATGATATTATTATTTTGATAACATGCGATTTACCAGTTTACACACATACCACATGTTAAGGTATAGAAGGTATAGGTATTGTATTCATGGTAAAGTCGTGCAACGCGTTTAATTCCGGAAATTATTTTGAGGAAATGTTGTAGAACTCGTTAACAATTTCTTAGAACCGAATCGTATATAATAATAGGTGGGTACTTACTTATACCTATACCGCATGCAGCAGATACTACATAGTATACAGTAAAAAAACTCCTCACTCTCTTTGTTGTTACTTTTTAATAATTGTTTCAACGATCGGGGAATGTTTAAAATGTTTATATCGTACTCGAACGTATACCAAATAATATCCCGACAACGGTCCTTGACTATCACCCGAAACGCCTTGACCGTCCTCTCAGTGCAGCGATACAGAGTCAAAACGCATATTCATAGTAAGTTACCACTTCACACCGGGTACACTGGTACACTATTTTTGTCGTGTGTGGGTCTGACAGTTGAGTTCGTTATTTATCAAAGCAAATAATTTATAATATATATAATATATTGTTGCACTAAATCATTATCGTAATTTATTGTGACTGTTTCGGCGATGGCCGAACTTAAATCGTCAAAAATAGACGTGGAAAATGGCAAGAACGAGTACAATTTGTTTAAATCCTCCTTAGCTCAAGTATGTATAATGTGTTTATTTTATTTTTATTGTTTTTGTATTTTTCTTTTAACGACTACGGCATTTTTTCGTGACGCACGATGAACACCTAAAATTATATATATGCCACAATTATACGATTATTAACTGAATTTTATCTAGGAATATAACTTATTTTTGTATTTTAGTCCGAGTACCTAATAAACCTGACCAAAAACGTGTTAATATAAATCATATTTAAATAATTATTTAGATTTTAGGTGTATCGTATATTTGAAGAGTTAATTTTTTGATCTGTTGAAACGTAAATTAAATTAGTAGTATTATTTTGTTATTTATGTACCTACTCGATAACGTAACATTTTTATTATCATGTTAATTATTAGTGCATTATGTGTGTAAAATATTATAATTCCAATCAATGTTAACTCATTTAAGTATTCACTTTTGGGAAAAAATTAACCTAATCATACTGGACGTACCTATAACGTATTTCATATTACCCTATTCATTTATATATGTGTTTTAAATAACTACCTATTGACTAATTTTAAAAAAATATTAAAATATATCAATTGATTATGTGCACATTTAAATTATGATTTTCAATATTAATATACATACTTTTTAAGTTTGTTAAATTTTTTAATTAAACACAAGTCTGTAAGTTTCAGGTTTTTAAATAAATATTATTTGAAAGAAACAATTTTTATCATTTTGAAATTTTTTTTTTCTTTTAATAAGTTTATTCACCGTATGTTTATATACCTAAAATAATAATATTATTTAATGGTATGAAACAATTCATATATTATAATTAAATGTAGTATTAATGAAAATATTTTTAGGATACTGACTAATTAGTTTTTATATTAATTAAATTAATAAAATGAACATAATGCGATATAGTAATAACATAATTTAAATACAGGCTTAATGCATAATAAATTGTTTAAAATATTTCCCACTATCCAATCAAGTACATAAATTATAAGTAGTATACAGCTGATGATATGTCTTAAAATTTCAAATAGGATACGAATCGGAACACGTGGAATTGCATGGATTTATTGTAAATATTTTTTCTAAACTATTCATATCCTAACGAATATTGTGAGTTATGGTATATGGACTAATTATAAATGTTTATCTTTATTTCTAAATAAATCTTAAATTTATCCGTGAAAAGTTATGAATTTCACCAATATTTTTAATCAGAATATCAACCTTAATCTGAATTCTAATGATCATTCTTTTGAACTGAGGCGACACCTAAGCATTTGGAAGTGCATAGAAAGTATAATTTTAGGTACTGTTTTATAATGTTCAAACTAATCAAACTCATAAAGTCAAATAATTAGAGAACGTTATTGAAGTGGAAAGCCGGAACAACGCACGTCAAGGATTTTTGATGTATTAAAATAATGCGAAACTAGATTGATGTCGACCTCATGGTGCGCTCATATGCGAATGCCATTGATATACAATCGTGTTGATTAATCAATATTTGCGGGTACCTGTACAAGTGTATATAAKCACAACTCAGTAGAATATAATCGTGAATATAATCATTTCAAATGTACATAATATAGATACATTGACAAGCATATCCGTCATTTGCGGAATAAAATAAATGTACAAGAATGAAAACAAAATTAATCGTTATTAGGTACGTATACTGTATAATAGCAATTGATTTGATGTACTATGATTAATGACGTTACTCGTATTATAGCGTAATAGTCACAAATCCATAAGGTCATTTACAATAAAATTAAAACATATTTTATTCAATTTTAAAGGACGAAATGATTATGTTTTACTATGATTCTGTAATGATGTGTACAAAATAAGTATCAACAATCTATTGATTTTGAAAAACTTGGTAAGCATATTGATATTAATATATATAAAAAAAAAAAATGCGTTTGGAAAAGGTTTACAATAAGAACGAAAGCTTAACCGAAGAATCATAATTGAACCGACCAGTCATCCATTATACTTTCTTCTAGTCTGCATTTCAGAATTGATTTAAAATAATAATTAATGTTTGGCCAGCTTTCTCCGATTATTCATTGATTAATATGCGAACATTAAAGATAATAATATGATATACAATACCATAAAGTGATTGTTCCAAGTATTCCAATGATGAGAGAAGAATGGCAGTATGCAGGTTGTGTGACCTTGTGGGGTGGGATTGCTCTGGGCAAAAGCTACAGCAGTACAGCACTATATTATTGTACGAGTAATTATTACCATACGATAATAAAAAATAAAAATAAATTCATAAATTACTATAATAATTCAAGTAGGTCCGTCACAGTGACAATAATAATCAATAAACTACTGTATTAATGTTATTTATACCTGTCGCCCATTCGCAATACATTAAAATATATTTTTCAAGTATTTTCGACAGTGTGGTTCGAATTCAATGTATAATATAATATGTCAATAAACCTCTGAAGTTAGATTACAAGATGATTTAATAATCAATTATAAAGTATATCAAGTATAAATGCTGTCAAGAAAAAAAACTAAGTAGAGTAAAACATATATACCCAAGGTGAGTGACTAATAAAAATCAACCGATGTCCGATACAACTTCATAAAAAGTTAAAGCCAACAATTTATGTAATGTCATACACCTATAAGTATTACTCGACTCGTTTACTAAGGGTATTTTTTAGTATTCGAATTATCAAATAAACTATCTATTGACTTTATCAAATAGTTTTAAATAAGGGGTTATGTGTTCGAAAATGATATGTTCGAATAAAATGTGTTCGAATGAAAAGTGTTCGAAAAAGCATATGTTCGGATGAATTTTTGTTCGAATAGTKAAACTCAGTCTTAAGAACAAGCATATTATATTAAAATATTATTTATATAGTGAAAAAAATTATTAAATGTATAGKTYTATGTATATCGTCAAATAAAATAAATAAATGTATATACGAGTATATTCAAGTTAAAAGTTTAAATTGTACGCAATGTCTCTTAAAAACTCAATGTTATTTTGATTACTATTTTTAAATCTTTTAAATTTTTAATTCTTTCTTCGTGTTGTTGTCGGGATACCTTTATTTTTTTTGCAATTCTGCCTTGTATAAATTGTTTAATTAAGCTTTCGTTCTCGTTCTGCATTTTTAGAAGAAGTGTTATGAATTTATAAGCACCTGGATGTTTCGATATCAACCTGTACAACATTATGATATAAAAATATAAAATGTATACATTCTCTATCAATTTTAAAATTACCTATTTAAACGACTATGCCAAGATTCAGTGATATTAGTAGTCCATGTCAATTCATTTTCAACTCGTTGTGCTACTGACCATAATTCTGGCGGATATAACGTGGGTCGTTACTCCAATTATTTACTCCTGATAAATTTTGTGTGRATTATCTTGAGATTGCAATGAAGCAGTTTTGATTTTATTTTTAACTATTTTGCATTCATTTTTTATAGGATTCGGCGCGTGTGAATGATCCATTAATATGTACGACTCGTCTTTAATATGTTCATTGTTTTTAATAATTGTTCGAAATTTAGCACCACATTTTTTGACACAGATCCAATAGTACACATTTTCATTATCCCGTTTACGAAAATTATTTTTATTAAACATTAATTCATACTCATTAACTAATAACATATTTTTATTATGTATAGTAGATATTAATTTTATAGTACACGTCGACATATTCGTTCGCAATTTCATTCGGTCAGACAATCGAAAATATACTGCAGCAGTAGGTAAATTACAGTCGGTACCTATTTTACAGAAACCCATATTATGATAAAGCTTACGATAATATAACGTGTAGATAAAATTTATTGCTCTATATCAGATACTATATTAGGCCGGAGCCCCGTTTCACATAAACGCGTATCGTACGCCGCCAGACGATATCGACGAGGGAAACGTGCCATAATGTTAATTGTTAAATTGTCTTAAATAACCGTCTTTCCCTGGTTAACGGTATAATAGTTGGAATATACTATAGATAATAGATATCTTAATATCTATAATTTCAAAATAATAAATACAAAGTTTTCGAACAAAAATTCATCCAAACATATGCTTTTTCGAACACTTTTCATTCGAACATATCATTTTCGAACACGTAACCCGACACCTTAAATAATATATTTTTAATACAAATATTTTGTTAACTAAATATTTCGATTTTTACTGGTCATTAGAGTTTCTGAATTATTCATAACAAGTTTAATATTATTATTACTGTTGTCTGTTGTGAATTTATCGCATTGAAAATCACCAAAAAATTACATTTTAAGATATTTGAAGATAAAAAGGGAAATAACCTAAAAATGAAAAATTAATGTTTCAAAATATAATTTTTTGTCACATATGATTCGAACTTTTAAACTTTCTATCGAGAAAGCTACATTTCACAATAAACTATGAAATAGAAATAAAAACAAATTGCACAAACGCACTGCATCAGCTGTGATAATTCATTTCTAAAATCCACAGATCGGTACCATCATCGTGCAGAATGTGATAATGTTGGGCTTTGGCATGTCGCTGGCCATACCAACGGTGGTCATTGGTTCGCTGATGTTGGACAAAGTCGACGGCGGCGGAGGCGACAGCATGACCTTGACAGAAACCGAAGCGTCGTGGTACGGCAGCGTGCTGTTGGTATGTCACCCGACGGGAGGCCTGCTGTCCGGCGTTCTGCAGGARATCGTGGGCCGCAAGTGGTGCATGGCCCTGGTGAGCGTACCGCAATTGGCCGGCTGGTACGTGCTGTGGCGCGCCGGCGACGCGTTCGATCTGTACGTGTCGTGCGTAGCGCTGGGCCTGAGTATGGGCCTGAGCGAGGCGCCAGTGCTGACGTACGTGGGCGAAACGGTCGAACCCAGGCTTCGTGGCCCACTGTCGTCGGTGTCCACGTTCACCATCATGCTCGGTTCGTTTGTCGCGTACCTCATGTCCACAGTTATGCCATGGCGGACGGTTGCCATGATCAACATGTCTGTGCCCATCATATCGTTTGCCGCTGTCGTGCTCCTGGTAAGTATATTATTATTATTATTATTATTATGCATTTTCATAAGTTATTATTATATTTATACTAGTCATATTTTTTCTAGTTCTTTAAAAAGATGACAAAGGGGTTATTACCAAAATATAAAAAATCATGATAAGGTTGCATTGTACGATTTTAGCGCTACAGAACTTTTATCTAAAACAAATAACGTGGTTTTTTTTTCTCTCAGATAGAATATTTTTACATAGGTTAGCCATCACGTGCACGCATTATACATAATTGATTCGTAAACATTTCAAACCGTATATATCGGTGTGTTCAAATTTGATATTTTTCACAGTTTTTGTTTTCGCAAATGATCGTGTAGGTGGGATATGGCGCATTGCGAATAATACAAATCATGTAGGACATAGAAAATAAACAATATAGGTACACTCACAAAGCAGATAAATCAATATCATTTCATTTTTGTCTAAAACGAATGATAGAAAAATTGGATACTACGTCAAGTAGAGCTATAGTGGTTGCGGTTTAGAATTATTTTTTTATTATTTTTTATTAACTTTTTCAAATCATATCCCGGAATCGTGAATACGTTTTTTAATGAATGATCAGTGATCATTAGTAATATTCAGTAGTATCTCAAAGGGAATAAAAATAAATTTGTCTCGTAAATTATTCGAATTATATACCTCAAACGTTGTGTTAAAAAAAACTTTAAGGGCCAAGAAAAAAGTTTGAGTTACCGAGACTCGAACGCAGTATATTATTAGACCTAGGATATGATGGCCATGGCATATATTATAATATTATAACACAGCCACTCCACTGCAGTCTCTATACACGCTCTACGTAATGTTATTATTCATTTCTCTATGCAGACACCCGAATCGCCGGTATGGCTAATGTCGAGGAACAGGCCCGACGAGGCGAAAAAGTCGTTGGCCTACCTGAGGGGCTGTGTGAGCACGGCCGACGTAGAAGACGAGTTTTCCGAGCTTTCGATCTACGCGGGATTCAACAAGTCCGTCGATCTCGAGCAGTACGCCGACTGCGGAATAGACCAACGTCGTCTATCGTACGTCAAATACCTGCAAATCAACACCAACGACACTACCAATGGTAAGTATCGTAGATGACAACATTATTTATTTATTTGTAACAATCACGGTAGTGAGCTCAATATTATAAACAAGATATGCACAGAGAAATGATATGTGAATATTTAACAAAAATAATTTTAAGTGTTTATACATACACTTGGTGTAAGGAAGATGCTCGTTTCTTACGTAATTTCAGGTTGATTAGTGATGGGTCATAACAAAACAAGAATTAGGATATTATAATTATTCCGGGTGTTTCAAAACAGACCCTTTATATAATTGTATATTCGTATAAGTGCAATTAGGTAAGAAGAGTTCAACAGTTGTTAAAGAAAAAATGCATTATGTTGATGACAACGAGCTAAAAAGGTGGATGGGTTTAAAAACATAGAGGGCGGGATTATATATCCACGAGGTACAAACTACAAAGTTAATATTAAAAGTATATTTTAGTATATTTTAGTATAAAACTTAGAAATCAGGACAAGCTCGAATTGTTTGCAAGCGTCCGCAATCTGCAACGGATTCTTAACAACCGAGTGATATTCAACAATAGGTCTGACAAGTAAATAAACAAATGCTTCAAGTAAGTCGGAAAGTATTTAAACTCCCCACATTTTTTGATAGTAAAATGAGACTATAATAGTATAGTGGTGTATCCGGAATTTGATAGGTTGGGAGTCATAGAAATTGACGATACTCGATGAGTGTGTACGATTTTTGTAATTTACGTATAGATATAAGATATCAATCCTTTTAGACCCAAGTCAACTTCTACCGGATTAAAATATTTTTGTTTTGCATATTCTTATTAATATGGAGTAAGATTTTGAAAAAAATGCTTTKAATTTTTGACGAATTTAAGAATATGTTCTCTATAAATGATATTGGTTCACTATAGTAACAAAAAATTTTAAAATCTTAACAATTATATCAATAAGTAGGTATTAGGTATATACACAATATAATGTAATGAAAAAATACAATGTAACAGTCGTATTTATAACGTATAGGTATTAATATAATGTTTTTTAAAGCTGAAATTGATATTCTCGCAAATCAAAACCAAATCGGTTTTCTGGAGACGCTGAGAAGTTTTTGGTCGCCAGAAGTCAGCCGGCCGTTCTTCTTCATAATGCTCTTCTTCTTCTTTTGGTCGTTCGCCACGTTCATACCAGCTAAACCATACCTGATAGACGTGTTTGGTGAAATCGGTTTACCGTGCACTGCTCAATGGACATTGGTCTGTGATTCTTTTTAACGTTTAAATTACTAATATATTTTTCATACAATGTTTTTTTTATATATTCACAATATGTAAATAATAGTTCGTCCTTCTGAATTTTTATTTTTTTTTAATTACAAATTGTTTGAGGATTATATTTTTTACTAATCGTATTTATTTTTTATTTTTAGGTCTACACTTCTCTTTTGACCTTAATAGGAACTCTTTTGAACGTGTTAACTGTTGCAAAATTTGGCAAACGTCCTATCACATTGATTTCGATGGCACTCTGTGCTTTTTCGATGCTTGGAATCGGAATATACATTCTTTCTACTACTTATTTCTCGTTTTTATCTACTTGGATACCGATGATATTGTTAAACGCCTTATTCTTCTTTTCCGGTTACGGTGTGTTTCCCATTCCATGGATGATGGTCAGTGAAATATATCCGACAAAGTAAGTTTAGACGTTTTCTTTAGTAAGGTATGTTAAATAATTGTAGAGTAAAAATATATTTATATAAAAAAAATGACCATAATTTAGTGAAATTAATTTTATACAATATTCGGTAAAGTCTTTAACTTACTGTCAAAACCAAATTTTTTCTTTAGGGGACGCGGCATCGCAAGTGGACTAACGGCCGCTTTGGCATTTTTGATGACGTTCGTTTTGACAAAATTTTTTTTGGAAATGCAAGAATGGTTCACTCTCCCCGGGCTGTTCATCGTTTATGGATCAATTACATTAGTCGGAACTCTATACCTGTATGCGTGCATGCCCGAGACTGAAAATAGAACCCTTCAAGATGTCGAAAAATTTTTCATCGGTGACTTAGACGATTATGAGGACCACGATAATCAAAACTGATTTATCGCAAACAAATATAAACAAAAATATTCCTAATTTGTTCTTCGCAAAAATCAACGTTGTTCACTATATTAATTTATATTAATTTAAATGTATTTATTATTTATTGTTAACTTGAACGCCATTACATTATATTGTATAGTATAACTAATATAAACAATTAAACAGTGTTTTGAAATGTTTAGATACTGCAAAATTACTGCGGAAAGTCCTATACGTATTATGTAGCTTAAATTGAGCATAACATTATCAATACGAAAAGTTTTTTTTCGAGAAACATTGTGTGTGTGTATTATTCTTATTCGTAGAACGAAAGAACAAAAATTAGATTAAAAAAAAAAGCATTACCTATACAATAACAATTAATTGATAATAATACGTACACAGATTATCGATATAAATACAATGTTCATTGCTCTTTACGATTATGGCGAAAATTAGAGCACAAACTATATAATATGATTAATACAATTAGGTTTTAGTATATTTAAATAATAATTGGTGCCTTAAGTCTATACAAACAGTCTATTAGTCTATGTGCATACATATTCCAAACTTTGCTTTTTTATTCCTATTATTTACTTAAAATCAAAGATTAAAACTATGATGATTCAGTTAACTAAATTTAACTTGTTCAAATTATGACGTAGACTGTAGARAGATGGATGATTTGTTTAATTTATAGTATTTTTGTAAGTTTACTTATTTATTAGCATAGAGTAAATAATATTGTTTGTGAGATGACTATTTACTATTTGGGTTGGGTTATTTATTTATTATGAAATTACGTTTAATATACTTCTTACGTCATAAATATTTTTAACTGTACACAAACACCGTATGAGACGACTTGCTATTGATGAGAATGACGTATAAGAACTTATGAATAGCACACTCGTTATCATTTTCCAGACATTGCACGAATAGTCGAATAATAGGCACTAGACATGATAGTTGTTAAACTTTTTGAAACAATACGTTAAGTATATTAATATAATAATATAATTTAACACATTTTTATATTTCATGTGTCAATATTTATAGACATTTAAAGCTCACAACGCTATACTATTTACCAAGATGAAGATAACACTTTTTAATTTACATACATTTTTTTAAACAATTTATATATCAAAAAAAAAAAAAAAAAAAATGCACATTTACAATAATAATATTACTTCGCATTTTTATTCAGTTACTAATTTTTATTTGATTTTTAATTAATTTACGGCCAATTAAAAAAAAAAAAAAACATAATATACTACATGACTATTGTTAGGTACTCGAGATTTCTATATAATATATGATGACTCTCGAAAAACTTATACCAAATAAGATATTTAATTTCATAGATTGGTTTATAATTTATAGATTATAATGAATATTATTTTAAGTTTTATATGGAACTGTATTATGTACTATATATTTGAGTGACACATAAATAATATTAGTATAAAAACATAACCAAAAACAAGTAGTACACACAAAACAATAATAAAAAAAAAGCTACTTATGCACTTATCTAGCTGCTATGAACATAATTATAATATTGTGTTAATACAACGAATTGGAGTACAAACTATTTTTACTATTATACACGAACTCGCTTACCGACTTATAGATTTTTGCTGTCCACATATTAAGTTTTTGATCCATATTTTTTAGCGTATAAGACAGTATTCTTATTAATTTTACTGGTGTGGCCACTGTATAATTTTTAGAAGTATTAATCCGAGACTACTCTGATTAATAGAAATCTAGAAGGACATATAGTCGATCCAGTCGATCTCAATGCACTACTCTCATATTATTTTTTTCACCAATTCTATACACAACGCCGTTGATTGTTTTATTATGGGCCCTGATCGTGCCTATTTAATAAGAGGTAATATTTAGCGATGTATGTAATTTCTTTGTCACCGCTCGTTACCTTCGTCGTTAATGTTGATATTATTAGTGTGAGTACGCGTTTATATAAGGTATAAGGATCATCTAGACACTCACTGCACACTCACATTCACTCAAAAAATTTACATCATTGTAAAATCAATACATTTATTACTCTTATCAGAATCTAAAAATAATATGCGTTAAAACAAATAAATACTGATAGACTGCTTCTATCGTATTCATGGGAATGCATTAATAAATTAGGGTTGTTTTCTTTGAAATTTCCTATTATAGTAAACGGTTGCAAACGTAGATTTTCTCGATAAAATAATAGAACTTTGTATAGATTTCGTATGAAACACGAACAAGTTCAATCGAATGAATAATAAATCGTTCAAAGTCTATTATTGGTCATTATAGGTACTAATTAATTATATTGTTTATAAATACGTCATGCAGCATATTAATGATATTGAATTATAAAAATTAAGTAACATGGTTTATATACGTAACGGATATAGGGCATTTTTATCAACCCGTCATCAAATATAAAATAAATATGACCGAATCACCTACTAAAATAAACAAAATTCCTTAATACAAAAAAATAACATTCAGAGATCATTACAATAATTTCTCGTTAAACGTACACAACATTGTAAAGGTCGTTAAACTACTCGTTGCACATTTCATAATAACAATTATAGTATTATATTATACCGACGCCTGTACCGACCGCGAAATTATTGCTTGACCGCGCAAAAAAATAATAATAATAACATTGTTGTTACAGCTAAAATGCGCTGCCCGTGAAGATCCGTTCGGTATAAATACAGTCCGCTGTCGGATACGAATTGATAATTCGATCGCCGATTGTGTAAAGAAAATACGAATGTGATATTATCGCGGTTACGTACGCTTTGAATTGGTTCTTTATGTCACATGTGTTCTGGTTTTTCTTTTTCTTTTAAAAACAAAATAACCGAGCTCGCCGAGTGCGCGTTATAGTAACTGCGGCTTAGGTAAATAATATCGTGTGTACAATAATATTATTGGAGTGTGTTTCAGTGTCGTTTTCCCGACCTTTGTGCTTCTGTTGCACTATATAATAATTATAATTGTTCATATTATATCTGCCACTGCAGTTCACAATCGAACGATCTATTTAATCGAACGTGTAACGCATCACAAAAACCCACGTTGCGTTCATACAGCGCCTTGCAGCATCCGAGGCAGCACGTGCAGCTCGTCGTCGACAAAATCAAAATCAAACAACCGGTTTTTTTTAAACAAAGACAACCACACGTGTTTGAAAACACAACATATGTCGTCATAAAAAGTGTTTCGTAATGTATTCCCATACGGTTATAATTTGATATCATAAAATACCGTCAGTGTGTCAATCGCATTTTTCACGATTCCTTAGGGATTTCGACGGCGCGTGCGCGCGTGAATAAAATTTTACGATTTTCGGCAGTGCGCATACATATTACGACAACCGAACAATCTGCAGTCATATTTTTGTATAAATCCGCGTAAAATCTTGTCCGTTTGCGGATTTTTGAAATTCGTAGTCTATTTTTCTTGGTGACCGCCCCAAAATCTTACAGTCATGTTCAACAACACGAGCAATCTACTGCTGCAGACCATGCTGTACTTGGCACAGACGGACAATATCACGTTCCCGTTGAACTACACCGCGGACGCAAACAACGTTATTTTGGAAGGCGACAGTGAGTACCTCTGTCTAAGTAACTATTTTCTTTTTAATTGTAAAAGCCGTCATGACGATTATTGTTCAGCGTTAACCTTAACAGTGTCATGTTGTTAATTATTTGCCAATAGGTGCCTAATAAATACTTATCTGCAGATGTTAACTCTTACCCGAAACTTACATCGATCATTTAGTATAAAATATCGTAATAATTACGCTAAATTGCAGCGCTTTGGAAATACCTGCAATGATTTTGACCATTTTGTTTTTCCGTGAAATTAACAACCGAGATTACGCCATAAACTCTCAAAAAATACTTAATATGCATACCTATACTTATTCGACAGACATATTTTAATTATTCCAGTACCTACATCAACAATATAAAACGCGTTGCAATTAATGCATCATAAATTTAATTAAAAACATTGTTTTAAATAATATAATATACAATCATACTCGCGTAACTACGTATGAAGATCGAATATTGTATCGAAACATTTCGACCGACTGAACTATAAATTATAATCTATTATTGCAATTACCATACGGTTACCTGCAATATATTATTTATCCTGTCTGAGTATTATATAGCTAAGTAGACTCCAAAATCTTCCAATTTCCGTTGACTAAAACCAACCTTGTGAGTAGTTAAATCGGCCAATTACAATAAATTGTTCGACACTTTGTCAAATCCAAACGAAAAAAATATTGACTGATTAAATAATCATTGGTGAGCGCGATTTAATATTTCAAAGTTCGCTCGGTCTCAATAATTATAGAACCTTGAGGAATTTAGCAACACACTATTTTTTAAATGCCCGATAACAATAATAATAAAATATTGTTAAATACCTTCATATTATGTTACAGTAAATTTTGCAATATTCTTAACATAAATGTACAGCAGAGTTGTGACGTTATCGCAAACTGTGGACCTATAAATTGATGTGCGAAGTATAAACAAGAGGTGGAAATTATATTTACCTCGTGTTGAATTCGACTCAGAGTCCACAGTGAACATGCCGGCTTTCGTTGATTATGAAATTGATAATGATTATTGTTATTATAGTATATTAATCATTAGTGTTAAAACTGTGTCGTATAGTAGATATTATATTATACTAAGTTTAATCGACCAAATTAGGTATATAATAACAAAATATGAAACTTTTAATTATATGGATTATTTAATTTAAATTGCGCTTTTAATATAAACTATTATTCAACACATACAAACATATTATTGAATATCAAGTAAAGCTACAACAGTCGTCTGTCAAAATGACTAATTATTAATTATTTCCATTGACTAAACTCTGGGCGTTGTACCTATTGATCTAAAAAAAATAATTCCAAACGAATATTTTTAATAGTCTATTACTTCATTTAAAAACCAAATATCATGCACGTTGCTATATTTAAAATATTCCATCGTTAGGTTAGGTTACATACAATACACCATCGTTCATTTTGAACGCATTGAGTATTAATATTGTGGCTTTCGCTAGCTTGAAACTGTAAACTATAAAGTAATATCAACTAATATTATTAAACCGTATTTTTCTGTATTGACAAATTAAATGTGAGTTTTATTATAAGAGTTCTAAACTTCTCTTCGCATATATATATATATATATATATATATATACATATTACATATACTAGGTACATACTTTATATCATCGCCATTGATATAACAAATTATATAAAATCAAATGTTTCCAATAGTAAACGGAGTTTTGTTTTCGTAAATGTGGGTACCTGTAGAATCGGGGATACAAATTATAACTGGCTAAAATCAACATAGAGATACTGCAGTGCCGAAGCAGTTTGTAATATGGAATCATACAATTATCCATAACTGCCGTTGTACCTTTATAAGAAACTTAGACAATTTAATATTCTTACGAGGAGTATATGATCCAATAACGCTTATTTTGAGTTATGTGATACCGTCACGTCGTCACGAAAAGTTAGACTGCAGTATACGTATACCTATAAACAAAATCAAATTTACTTAAAAACCACAGAAAGTCTATATTATTGTAAAATAAAGTAGAACATATTTTTTCTATACAATCGAACTATGATAACTCGAATCTCGATGAGAAGGTAAATACATTATACATTTGACTTTCGAGTTTTGCTTATATCACCTCAAACATAACTTACAAAAATGTAAACTGGTAAAAATAAATTCAAGCTACGAGACTTAGCTGTGTGCCCGTGTTATAGAGAAAGCATTATAATATGTTAATACTTATTAGTGTATGAATTGGACAGTCGATATATCAGTTCTAAACAATAATATCGTTACATTTTTTGTACGAAAAAATTAGCACTGATTGCATATCAATTTATGTACAATCATTTTATATTATTATAATTTTGATATCGCATACAAATTTTATAAGAAACTCCGCGCGTATGCATATGTAAACAATACCCACATATATGAMAACCATCTCACTGATATATACCAGTTGTCCAGTTAATATACATAATATTATAATTATTAGTGCCTGGAACTTAGTAATTCTCTTAAAAAATAACTATAAATATGCCTTTTTTTAGCACACAAGTATGCTTAAAAAATATGAATTTTGATTTTGATTTTATAAAACTATGATAAGTAAAACCAGTTAGATCATTAGGTATTCTTATAGATTAGTTAAATTAATTTGAAGTTCCTCTAAAATGTATAGTTACATTCTTAAACATTCAAATTCAAAAACTTCCCTGTAGTATTACTGACTCTAATATAAATATAGTACCTAATTAAAATAATAAATACACAACAGCTGTCTTGGTTTTTTTTGCAGACGTGGAGGTCAAGTGCTACGGTGAGTACGGTTGTTTCTCGGTGGCCGGCCTGTGGCAAGACGTCTCATCCAGGCCGGTGAACGTGTTTCCGGAAAAGCCGGAAAAGATCGCGCCACGATACTGTCTGTATACGCGCAACAACAGGAACGTATGCCAGTACCTGAACCACAAGGACCGCAATTCGGTGATCATGTCCCACGTGATCCCATCGATGCCCACGTACTTCATCACACATGGGTTCTTGGAAGGTGGTGACCGGCCGTGGCTGAAGGAAATCGCCCGACAGATCCTGCGACGGTACGACGCCAACGTGATAATCATCGACTGGGAACAGGGCTCGGGATCGCCGTATACGCAGGCCGTGGCCAACATACGGATGGTTGGCAGGATAACAGCACACTTGATAAACGTGATACGAGTGAGTGACATTTGAGTACTTTTTAATTGATCTACTTGAAATTGTATACACAATAACTGACATTTTAATTTACGGTTCATTTATTTTAATTTCAATAGGTAGAACATGAATATAAATAATATTTAAAATCGTTTATCCTTGTCGTCGCCTCTTTGGATAATGGGTTGCTGTAAAAAAAATAAATGCACTTATCTTTAGAATTACGATCTAACACGGTATAATAGGCAAAAGTTTCCCAATCGATTACAATCGTGTCGAGTTAATACTTTAATAGTTATTAATTATCGATCGATTTGATCATTTCGTTCGTAATATATAATATATTGTTGATTGAATATACAATACAGTACATTTATTTATATCAATTATCAATTTATATAATTCCGAGTCGTCGTAGAACTTTTAAATTTAAAAACATCGGAATTTAAATGTATTGATATTTAATTCGCATATTAAATAATAATGCTCATCTAGTTATCTACTATTTTTCAAAGAGGTTTTAATGAATAACTATTAAAATGTGATTTTCATAATTCATTAATATTTATAATAACAAGTATTAAACTTATATATTATAAAAACAATAAACATACATTTATCGGCTATTGGTTAATTTGACCATAAAAACCATTTTAATTTTAAAATAAACACGCTCTAAAATGTGTTTCTTATTGCATCATACACAGTTCGGTTGTTATTGGAGTTAGTGCTTCTTCCTCATTTATTCAATATGAACATTTTATATGAGAAAAACCGGAATCTTATTCCGTATTTAAGTTTTTGAGTCTATACATGAGGACTATTAACTTAAACATTTTAATGATAAACAACAATAAAGTATTTTCTTTTGATATATAAATTTGTTAGGTTACTGATATTTATGTTTCGAACTAGCCGACTTCACCGGGTGGGTATAGGCAATGTTTTTTTTTGGGGGGCAGACGTTGCTACTGAAGTATTTCTGATTTTATATTTTTTTTATCTGTCTTAACGTCATCATACTAACTTCATTTTTTTTTTTACCAATAAATACAATACAAATCTTTACCTTTCCAATAATGAACCTATTTATTTTTCCCTTACTACGGTATTTATATATGTATATATATAAGACAAAAAAAATTCCTTGAGTATTAATATATTATATAGATAGATTATGCTACACTCAGTGCCAGGATTGAGGGAGGTGCATAGTTTTCTTTTTTAAAAATATTTATATTCTAAATTTAATTTTATCCTAATCAATAAAACAATTAAATATAGGTACAGATACCTACGCACATTTTTGTTCATACTTTTGCATTCCTCTCACAATTTTTTCCAATTCAAGCCCTGACTTCAATACAGTATTTATAGTATTATATTATGGAATTTTTATGCTTAGACGGAGCTGGGATTAAACGTAGCCAATGTTCATCTAATCGGCCATAGTTTAGGATCGCATCTCTGTGGTTACGTCGGAAGCGTACTGCAGACAAACTTTGGCGTGACTGTGGGTCGAATCACTGGTCTAGACCCGGCTGAACCTCATTTCAGCCAAACAGACCCGATGGTGAGATTAGATCCTTCGGACGCCATGTATGTGGATATCATACACACCGACTCCAGGCCGTTTATAAAAGGAGGCGAATTAGGTATAATATCAATTATTAAATTATTGCTTTATATTGTAGCAATATTCTTTAAAATAACATTTTGATTATTTATTTTTATCGTTTGATAATATTTTGTACCTTTACACATTTTTAATAATCATTTTGTATCATGTTCGTTCATTGTATGCTGTAGGTCTGGGAATGAGTGCGCSGATAGGCCATTTAGATTTCTATCCAAATGGAGGCGAGAATCAACCCGGGTGTAACCAAGGTATGATGAAGTATATTAACCGCGAAAACGGTAGCTTCTATCAAGGCATGAGAAGATTCCTTGCCTGCGATCATGTCAGAGCACACGAATATTTTAACGAATCCGTGAACACACATTGCAACTTTGTAGCAATTGAATGCGATTCATATGAAGAATTTTTAAGTGGAGAATGTTTTTCATGTTTGAGCGATATGGTTCGTACATGGCACATTATTGTCATTAGCTGTTAATTATTATTAATAATATTATAAAATATATTTTTTAATCTGATTACTCAATGGTTTAGAACCCTGATGGTAAAATTTGTGCAGAAATGGGTATGCGATCGCTGGGCCACTGGAAAAAATATGCCGCCACCATTGCTAGTTCTATTGATCCAAATGCATCGCCACACATACGTTTATACTCAATCACCAACGGAGACTCACCATTTTGCAGTAAGTATAAAAGTTACACATACATTTAACTGCAGCTTTTTTCATTAATTTTATAGTTTTAAATTTTTAATAAATGATAACAAACTTATATACCTACTGTTATGTCTTAACAACAATTTAAGATTTAGGTATAAAAAAAAGTTCTTATTTAAAAACTTTTAAAATTATATTTTTCAACTGGATGTATTACAAAAAAAAACATTACTTAGAYATACATATACGTGTTTTCGTACATAGACAATGATGTACCGACGGTGACGATGCGATATAGATACTATATAAACTGGTGTTTTATATCTAAAACATATGTAGTTATGCAATTTCTTACATGTATGTTTTAGCGTACTTATATCGAGTGACGTTGACCTTGGCAAACTCACAATTGAGCAAAGACCATGGTGGGGAAGTAGGGCATTTTTTGGTGCAACTCGAAGGAACTGAATCAAAATCAAAACTTTTGAACGTATTCAAGTGAGTGTATTCTGTATTCTATAAGACTGCAAAGTATACGTACCAAGTCGTCTTTTCCAAATTCCAACCACATCAAATATATTGTTATGTATATTATATAAGTATAATATGCGTGTACGTACCTACCTACTATTACCTCCGTTAACAAATAAAAAAAAACCACCACATGATAATGTTGAAATTGAGTAGGTATTGGTATTGGTGGTTATATTTTTTAAACTCATTAGAATTACTTATATGATAATGTTATAGTTGTACAGATGTTTTCTGATTTCTGTTCGTATATTTTTTTCTCAAACATATATCATAAATAGATACATTTAAGGCTTTAGAAATTAAAATTCCTATATATCATGACAATGACAAAAGACAGTTATAGTACCAAAGCAAATGATTAATAATAATTCAATTTTTACACTTTAAATAGAGAACAACATTACAAACCGGGCAGTGTCCACCGTCGGGTGTTCGGGTCGACCAATGTAGGTTCTATCAAATCGGTACTATTGGTTTGGAACCATTCAACCACGATGAACATACTAACCTGGAGATTCGAAGCGCCGGTCATCTACGTCGAATCGCTGACTATCGAGGCGTTCAACGGTGGCCAAAAGTATGTTAACTCTACCAAGGGTGTATTTTTTTTTTAGGTGGGAGGGGCGATGGGGCGATTGCCCCCCCCCCTGAGCCTCTGTTTTTTCTTTTTATTATTCTAATATTTTCGTAATAATATAACGACTTATGATACACAAAGTGTACATATACTAGTAACAAAGTTACTCTACTATATAGTATACATTATTCACATTGATACATTATTATTATAATTTATAACTTAGTAGAAGTAAACATACTTTAGAGTTATAAAAAAATTGATCGTGATTCATTTTTTGCAATTTGAATAAATATAATGATGTTTAGGTTTTTTTTTCCAAAATAACTAATACATTTTATATTATTCATTTTCGCGCGTACACCATATATTATAATTTATATTATTATATAAATACCTGCTATAAAAAACTGTATCTATAACCTAACCTAACACTTATAAAATGAATGCTTGTCTTACATTTTTGAACGAAAAATGTTTCTTTCATGAAAAATTAAAATATGTTTCAACAAATACCCATGTTATAAAAAAATTCCTTTTCACTGACCTATATATCTATAAGCAAATTGCGATAAGCCGATAACTACCTATATATACCTGCACTTGATTATAATATTGTGCATTATTAGACAGTGTATCACTTGTAATTTTTACAGTCTATAACTTTTATTCAAACTGATAATATTTTAATATGATTTTAAAAACTAATGTATCTAATAGAGAACCACACTTGAAATAATATATAGAACATTTTAGTTTAATTAAATCGTTGTCTTAATATTGCTTAAAAATCTTAGATGAAAATGTATTGAACTTATTTATCTAAATACTTTAAAAGTTGAAATATTAGTTTTCATTATAATATTTTACGTACATAAATTTAAAGTTTAGTTAGGAGGTAACAGGTGAATCTAGTAGAGGTAGAAGGGGTGTACATATATTAATATTTTTATTGGAAGGTACCTATAGGCTTAACCTATACCTATAGGCTATAGGTACCTACACAGATTTATATAAATACTAAAACTGTGAAATATGATCTGTATGACTGTGTGTAAAACTAATAAGTCATAACACGGATGATTAATTACTGAATATATCTTTGTATAGTGATAATAATATTATACCATATGTGTTCATGTATTATTAATATTTTCGTTTTTCTTTACAGACTAAAGCTATGTCCACCGAAATTAATAGCATTAGAAKCCGGCCTATCATTTAGAATGATTCCGTGTTAACACTATTAACAATACTAGAGAACAAAGATACAAATTTTGAAGTTCGATGTTCGTAATAACATTTTACATATTTGGCTAAGTTGAGGACGATTTTATTTAAATGTGTATTATGAGCTGAAGTATATCATTAAACGTACCTATTTACCTGTTAATTTTTATTCAAACGTGATTATACTTTTAATTTTGTCACTTGTAAAATATGCACCAAAATATTATGTTTATTTATTTAAGTTTAAGGTATATTCTCATTTTTACATATAGGTAACTATACAGTATAAGCAATAATTCCTGATACACTATTTACTATTTATATTATACTCGATGTTCTTTTTTTTATGTTTAAGAGTTTACCTACCTATATGTTATGAATAATATCATAACGAATGTATATTATTATTTACTTATTTATGTCTTCATTTGTTATGTATTTTTATTTTTAAATAAATGAATTGGAGTGATAATAATTTTCATGAATGATGCGAGTTAAAAAAAWAAATCAATAATGGCTATACATAGTTTACTTATAACTGCAAACATGTAAAAAATTTTTTAAATATACCAGCAATGTCCAAAAATTGACATCAAAATTGTTGAGTAGATTTGAATGAGTCGTGTGGTAATAATTATTGTAGGTACCTAATACGCATGCCGTTGCAATTTGCCGTTTCTTAAAAATGTTTGCACTGAATGTTTGCACACGTAAATATACGTTAATGTTGAATACATAATGTTAATATATATGGTTACATTTTACACTTATTAAATAATGACCTGTAGGCTGTAGTGTACATAAAATGATACATTTTGGACTCATAAATAAATTCTGTATGTACCAGTACCAATAATGTACCTATATAATTTATAGTTATTATTATAATTAAATGATATAGCAATTAGTTTAAAGTTTAAGCACAAAATAGATGGAAAACGTATGAATATTTTGGTTAAGTTAGGAGACTACAGCAGTTTCGTCTGATTTTTATACCCAAATAATTATTTAGATAAAATAAAAATAAAAAAATTTCTGTGACAACCATAGGTAAATGTAAATCCATTTTAAGAAGTACAAAAAATCTATAAATATTAATTTATGTATTAATTATGTTGTAAGATGGACTTATAAACGAATGCAATGCACAGCCTGTGGGCGCGGTTTAATCGTACTCATTACGAGACTAATATTATGAATTATGAACTACGAATTTGATTTATAATTTATAATTATAGTCTTTGTAATATTGACATACTGCAATCATTGTTTAAAGTATAACATTATTGTATAAATATATATAATATTAATACCTTAGATCAGTTCTAGCCGTTCTAGGAGAAAAAGTCCCAAAATAAAAATATGATAAAAAAGGAACTTATCAATAAACACTAAACATTTAATCATCAGTGATAAAACAACAATTCTCTAAGTATTCTAAATTCCTATGAATTAGGTATAAGAATTATTAACCAATCATTTTATGAATATACTGTTTTTAACATTATGTTTTGTCAACTGTCGTGCACTCGTGCTTTAAATGAATTCTATAATTCCTTATTTTTGTACTTTTATATCATAATAAATTTGAGTCGAAATATTTTAAAATATGTGGTTTACCTATAGAAAATGCGAATATATGTATTCAATGAATATTGAATGTATATTCTATAGGTATAAAAAAAAATACGTCGAGTTTTTTTTTAGTCACCAAAAACCAATATCGATTTTAATTAAAAATTTCTATTTTTCTAGCGCTTTTAAGAACTACAGTGAATCTTAAATGTTGACGTCTCGAACTCACTTGCTAAATTCCCTTTCCTACCGGAAAAGATACAGAAAATCTAAGTATTATTTCCATGAATATATTTATCTCTCCACTCAGAATCTAAAAAAATGATTGGACAGCAATTTTATTTTAAATATTTGGTTAAGAACAATTATTTGATTGTTAAATTAAAAATTTGTTAAAAAATCATTCAAGAATCAAGAATTATGAGGGAGTGTGGGGGTGAGCACGTCTTTGGATCATGATTAAAATCGTAGCCCCCATCCTAACTTTTTCGCTTTCAGTGAATTTCTGCTTGTGCTACTTACTATTCAAGTACTTTAATAATTAGTCAAAAAAAATAAATAACATCTATTATAATATGACATTAAAAAATAACTAATAATGAATAATGAACTATTAAACTAATTAAAGGTAATTTTTTTCAGGGGTTTTATTTTCCTGCTCTTTTTCGGAAGACCACTTCAATCATGATATACACGGATGATGAACTACCTATCTAACTGATATAATATTATATAATAAAATGATGATTCAAGTTTTCGACAAACCCTCTCTTTTAACCCGTTAAGTACTGAACGTCGACGTGCTCAACACACAACAGTTTAAGACATGGTTTCTTGAGTAAAAAAAAAATACTGTACAATTTAAATAATACAATAATAAACTACCCGTCAGTCGGACAAACAATATTATAGTTTTCGTCAGAGGTCCGACGATTACATACCTACCTACCTAATTATTTAAATTTTACATTATTATTAATATTATTATTTCATAACGACCATTGTCGGACTGATAGTAAGCGCCCGCCTTTTTTGATGTGATAAGTGATAAGTAAAGTAATGTAATTCAATATTTTGTTAGTCTGAATCTGAAATGGTTTTACACTCCGTTCACAGTGAAATACTGACATTTCTGAAACTTAGATCATAATATAGATCTTATATATGATCTAAGGTCTGAAGTGATAGAAGACAACTATTTTATATAATTATTTATTTATAAAGGTAAAATGCAAAGAAATGAATGTTTTGTTTGCGGTTGTAACGATTTCACCGTTATTGATGGAGCATTCGTTTGTAACGAATGTGGGATTCAGTCTCAAGTAAGCATGTAGAATTTAATAATTTTGTATTCTAAAAAAAATGTAAATATGATATTATGCAGTAAACAAGAAATACTTTATTTAGAGTTATTGATTTTTCCAGTCAAAATTATTTTATTTGTTGAAATTTATCTAAGTTGTTAAATCATTGTTTTCTGTGTTTGAAATTAAGTTGATTAAATCTGTAAGGTACCAATATTAAGTATACTTAAAAGTGGAATTATATCTTTTAAGAGGCTGGCCAAAAAGTATATTTAATCAAAAATATTTCATACTAACATACTTTTCAATACTCTTCAATAAAAACTTTTTACAAAGACAAATCATAGTTTTTTTTTTTTAAACTAATTTATTATTTTTAATTTATTTATTTACATTTTAATGCAACAGAGTATTAGAGAAGAACACATAAACTTTCATGAAGATGTTAATCAGAACTATGAAGATCCGACTCATTTGGATCATGAAATAACAACTGGATCTCAACTTGAAAAACCTAAGAAACTATTATCTTGGGAATGTTATAATTATATACTTTTAGGACTTACTAATGAGCTAATTGAACTTGGAGCTAAACCTAGCTTAAAAATAATAGTGTTACAATTATGGGTTCAATATTTGCAATGTAATGAAGTTGCTTTTACATCAAAGAAACTGAGGAAACTTCCTAAATTAAATACATCAATAATTGATATGTAAGATAAAATTTTTTTGCTTTACATTATTGTTACCAATTTATTCTTTTAATGTTATTGTAACATCAGTTGTTAATTAATATTCAAATAACAACCATTATAGTATAAAATGGACCAATATTATTATGAATGTATTAATAAACAATTTAAAAAAATCTGCTAATTACTATTACCAATAACACCAAAAAGTTATTAATGGTAATTTTCTGAATATTGTGTTAAAAATAATATATTAAATTTAAAAATCATTTTCAGGGACGGTGAAATTTTATATGGAGTTAAAAATGTGAAAAACAAAATTCTACATGCAAAAATTGGTTTAGTGCAAGGAAGTAAAAAAAGGAGATGTTCCAATAAAAGAAAATCATTGACATCTAGTATTAATTCTAATATGACGAGCGTTAATAAACAAAATAGAGTAAATTAATTATTAATTATTAAAAATTAAGATCTAATATAAAAAATTAAATTACAGTTTAGTCGCAAATTAAAAAAATTAGATCATTCTGCAAGAGATTCGAATAACGACTCGGTGGGATTATCAGATAATATAAGTTTATTGCAAAGAAGTAATAAGTCAAATAAAATAAAGTATGATATAAAATTTCTTATTTATAATATTTGTATACATCTGTTGAACAAATTTGTTATTTCAGAGTTAAATTTAAAAAAAATATTAAAAAATCTCTAACCTCGATGCCATCAAAGACTAAAGATCTTTCTACTGAAGAAACGTTAAAACTTTTTAAATCTGGCAACAAATATTGGACTAGCTTAAAAAAAAAAGAAAAAAAGAATGTTTTATCTATTAAAAAACTTTTATCTATATTACAATTAGCTCTTATGATCAACGGTGATGATATTCACCTATCTGACATACTTAGGTAAACAAATTTAAAAACTAGAAAGAAAAGCCATAAAATATATAGCAGGCTGCTGTCTAAATATTTTAATTATAATTTTATTTTTATTAGATGGATTCATGAAGGACATTTACATATAAATCGTGTTAACTTATTTTTACCAGCAAATTCAAAGCATGGTATTAAATTTAGTAAAATGATACCAAGTTCAAGAAGTATGTTAAATGAAGAATTCCACATGATATTGAAACATTTAAAAGTTGATCAGCTGCCTAATATTGATTTTAAAAAATTAGTGATTCGTTTTTCTGATGAACTACAACTTCCAAGTGATTATAACTTTTCTATAAATTTTTTTTTTATAATTATTATAAATTTTTTTTTTATAATTATTATATATTTTTTTTTTATTAGATGATTTTACACATTTTGTTTGCAAACTTGTATCAATATCTCCTCCGAGTGTTAAATGTAATCAAATATTACCAGACATAGAAGTAAAACTAATGGCTTACATACTTTTTGCTGCCAAATTTTTATTTTGTCTTGATGGTAATTCTGAAAACTTATCCTCAGACTTTGCTGAAAAAATTAACCAGTATGTTATTTATTTATTTTTAAAACTATAGTTCTTTAATCAAGACCTCGTAGTTTTCTGATATTCCATTAAAAAGTTTAAAATGAAATGTTATATAATACTAGGCCTTTATTAATCTCAATTTTAAAAATAAGATGTGTTTTTATTGATAAAAAAAAATGTTTATTAATTGACAGATTATAAAATATTGTATTCTCCAACATTTGAATACCTTAAGTTTTTCATATGCAAGTATTTTATTATTTTTTAATATTTTATTATGTTATTTTAGGTCAGATATAGTTGATAAAAAATTGTTCAGCTGGAACGATTATGTACAATACATAGAATTTAGAAATATTATTGTATCTAAATATAGCTATTATTTGCATGAAAACATGTATGGAAACAATATACGCAATACTCAATTATTTATCAACGATTGGAATATTATGAAGCCAACTATACCTGTTTTAGAAAGTAATAGTTATAATTTCTGTTTAATTAGGTCAGTAGTTCTCAAATAGTGCTGTGAAAAGCTCTAGGATTCCGTCAGTAATATAGGGGATTTATGGACACATCCAATTTAATATTATTACTTATTAGTAGTATATTGTGGTGATCATCATGATTTCTTGATTCTAAATTTATATTTTTATTTTTTTTAGGAATAGATATATTTTTTAGCAATTTAAGTGCTCTGAAAACATAATAATTTAAGAACTTTTGACTTAAGTATTATATCATTCAATTAAATGCTTATTTTTTAATTTCTATTATTGTGTAGGTGACAAAATATGTAAAAACTTTAGGGACAACACTGAATGTTTACTTAAATCATTACCTGATTTTGGAAGAAAAGATAATTATAGAGAAATTCCTGCCTCAATTAAACCACTGTCATCAACTTTAAAATGGATAATTGAATATCATTCAATGGAATTAAGTAATAAAGCAAAAACAACACTAGAAAAAAATTTTTCTCAAACTGATATTTTATATCTAACTGATGAAAAAAGGTATTTTAGTATAAAATCATATAAATTACAATATAAACTTACATTCTGTAAGATAAATATGTTGTTCATTACTTAATTGTTCAATTACTTGATAGAACAACACTATTCCTGTATTTGTTATGTCCATTTACTAGTGCACAATGTTTATGCTCAGCATTTCATGTTTAGCCTTCATTTGATTAGTGGTTAGAGTGAAATAATCTATTATGGAATTTTATGTTAAGTCAGTTTTTATGAAAATGACAACTTTTAAGCATACCTTGCATATTTACAATAGTATTATTTAATAATATTCATAACTACGGCTCGGAACTGAATGCACTTAAAAAGTACCTATTAAATATGTATACACTTATGCGGTTAAAATAGTACTAGTGTTCACTTATTTTTCTTTCAATGTAACATTTTCATGAATACAAATATTTAAATAAATTATACTCATAGTTAACAATTATAGGTTGCTGGATTTGATGTACATTTTGTACTCAAAACTAAAAAAAAAATAAAATGTATTATGAGATGATGACAACAAATATGGGTGTAGTGTCATCTAAGAATGTAAAATGTTGTTTCAGTAATATTTTTTGATAAAATATAGAAATGTAAAGTTGCATAAACAATCATTATGCAATGAATCAATAATAATCTAATTCTAATAGACCCTTTGACATTATTTACTAGMCCATGATTGTTCCATTATATTTAAGTGAAATTAATTCATTTTTGATGCAACTCATCATAGCAATTTTAATTAAATTAAAAAATACCATAGAACATTTAAAGTAAACTTAGTTTTAATGTGATTAATCAAATAATGTTTTATATAATCCTGTGGTGCCTATCCAACATCCAATGGATATTTTTTCTAAATTTCATTGACTTAGAGCTTATTATTATATCTTTTAAGTTACAAAAGTCATTGTTTTTTAACCTGATGTGTGGAATTAGGTTTATTTTAACCTACATTTCACAATATTTATGTACATTATAATTTTAAAAATGTATTAAATTTTTTGTTGCAGAATCTATGATTTAGCTGATGAGTGTGGTGTACCTATAGAAGTAAACTTCAAAAGTCCATTACATTATGAGAAAGAAAAAGGTAAAGATCCAGAAACTGCATTAACTCCACTTTATACTTCTCAATCTAAAGTGTATTTAGTAAATCAAGAAGTATATAAAAAAAAACAGAATGAAACTACAAATAGTCCATATGAAGAAAAACCAAATACAATATTCTTAGGAACTGGCTCAAATTATTGGCACATTCACATTAATAAAACGTTCTTAAAGCAAGCAGAAATTTCGAAAATAAATAATGTTTTTAAAACAAAATTACCATACTCATTTTTATGGCTCATGAATCAGTGTAGTAGGATTTTAGATTGTCGTATGCCGGAGTTATATTTGGAACTTATGAATTTAGAGATAAAATTCTTTAAATTAATTCAACCATATGAAAAATCGAATGAAACAAAATGTGAAACAATGTTTTCCAACATTACTTTATAATTCATATGTTATATAGTTTGATTAGCTAAGAAAAAATTATAAAGTTATAATTTCTGTTAATATTCTTATTTATAACTTTATGTTTGTGAATTTTAAAGTATTTACATAATGATACATAATTTGTTTTTATACTTGACTGGTATTTTAAAATAAAAACACAGTTTTAATTAATAATAAAAAAACATATCATTATTCATTTTATGTTTACTATTTAGCTAGGTGTTTATTTCACTGTGTAATTAACTTGTTTGCCTGCCTTTATAGTACCTATGTATAGTATATCAGATGATTCTTTCATAATTGAACATTCATTATTTTAAAAAGTATAAGAGTTTTTGAAAAAAAAATCCCATGGTTTCAAGTCGTTAAAAAACAAATTTGTTCAAAAGTTTTATCTTTAATACTTTATAAGTTTTTTGCATTTTGCACGACAACATAGTTTTAATAAAAAAACATACCTATTCCAAAGCAAAACATTTTACTAAGCATTTTGAGAACCAAAACATTAAATTTATAACGAGTAGGTAATATTTAGATATATGTATTTAAGGTTTAGATTTTAGATGAGTAGAGTAGTGAACATTTTGTAGTCTAATTAGTAATTTGCTTTTTATATACAAATAAAGATTACGGTTAGTAAATACTTGTTTTGAGGGTTCTGCCACAACCTCCTTTCTCAAACCATATTATTCATTATTTATTCTACATATAATATGTTAAATGTACACAAGATACAGATTATAAATTTTCAATTAATTGTTAATAAACAATGAAAAATGTAACCAAAATATGTGTATATTGTGTTGTTAGGTGTATATTATTATGTACATTTAAACAATATAAATAAGATAGTAAAATTATGATTTACAATAATATTAATTAAGTAGTAATCTATACTCTATAGACTATAAGTCTACTGAAATGTCTATTTGATATTTTGATGTCAACGACCTCTATCTTATTTATCTTGGCTGATTCTATTACCACGGAATAAATGATCATTATGAGCTATTACTCAATTACTGCTATTGAACAATTTATAGTAGTCATTTGAAATGGTGGTGACTGAATCTTTTCGGTCTGTATTGATAAATTCAAGCGAATTTAGTTTTATGTGTGAGAAGGCCACACTTCATATAATTGCATATTATAATAAAGGATATTAGTGTATTTTATGAATGGTAAAACAAATCAACGCATAGATAATATCATGGTCTTATACTTCAGAAAATCAGATCACACTGATCACAGAATAACCGTATATTACATATTTAAATCACGGTTTAAGATAGAAATTCTATCTTAAACCGTGATTTAAATACATTTATCCTGTTAATAGATCTTATGAGGCCGAAGCATACCTACGCCAAAATGCCAAGTACCAATCAATAATCATACATTTATTTTAAATCTAATGACCAGGTATTATTTGATAGAATATATTATTATTATTATATTAATATATTATTTTTATTATTGTTATTGTTATTACTATTATTTACAGTATAGTCGCTCCGTTACAAATATTAAACCACAGTCCATGATAAAGGTAGGTATGTAAAATTTAAATTTTTAGTCAGACCTATTTTTAATAATAACATAACCCGATAACCCATAATAATATATTATTAATAGGTCCATCATGATATTTAATTTATCGTGTTATCCATAAATTATAACCAATTAATCTACATTGACAACATTATTCATATAAATGCTTATCTTTTATATACAATGGTTATCTTTCCATGATAATATTTCGCTACCAGTTATCTTACAAAAATTTGTTCAATATCATAAAATATTATTGAAATAATTATTATTATTTTTATAATGTGTTGTGTACTAAAAATTTTTAATATTTATTTAATATATTTTATTTAATTTAATAATTTACTTATAAGTTTTAAGAAGTTTTACCTTTTTTTGTAGAACTGTTTCAAATTAATCGTTGTACGTAGAATGTCCATCAACTTTGCGTGAGTATTTCGTATTGATGTGTTGAGAAATCTATTATTTTATTACTGCGATAAATTAATTTTTGTTAACTAAATATTGTGTTCAATATATTTTTTCTTAGTTGGTATGTTTATATGATGACGCTAAAATGGTTTTTGAATCAAATTCTTATGTTATTGCAACGTGCTGGACACATGCAAAAATGTAGGAATGTATGGATCTTAAACCAATTTATGTTAATGGCATAATAACTAATTAAAATAATTCATTATATCTTTTTTAGTATTTATGTCTTACATTAATATACTTGTTGAATGATTTTAGTGTTAATTGAACAGCCATAAAATATTGTTTGAAAGTCTGTGATTCTACGATGGACCAGAAAAACGATACATTAGGTGTCGAAGATGTTGTGTTTATGTTGCTTGAAACATTAAAGTCTAATGGCACATTTGATGAAATTCGTAGGCATTGTGTTACTGATATTGATGCTAAGGTATAACACATTAACACATAAATAATTTATAATATTTGTTTTTAAACTTTTGAGTTATTACCTTACTATACTATTACTTTAACTAAGTTATATCATTAATTAATTCTGTAAAATAGTTTTTCTAATTATTTTTAATTAGTAATTAGTAATTATTATAAAATATAGGTAATTATATAATTTTAATTAGAATCAGAAAAAATCACTTGAGCATATCATCTTTTTTTATCTATTCAAATTCTAATTTAGTATACTTTTTATGTTTATTAGTAAGGTTTATTAACTAATTTTTATTTTATAAAATGATTGTACGGCATTGATAATTCCTATTCTTTGTTTGTTCATACAGCCAACTTACCAAAATTGGAAACAGCGCATAGAATCAAATGTCAACAAATTTTTAAGTAAAGTGAAATTTACACCAGAATTAAATAAAAACACTGTTCGAGAACGTCTTAGAAAACATTTACTTGATGGGTATGTATTTATAAGTTGAAATTAATATTTTTCATTTGCCAGTTGTCATTAAAAGGTTTATATTTTTAATTAGATTTATATTCTTGAAATGTTGAAAATAAAATAAGTTTCATTTTTTTTCTTTTAAAATATTGTAAATTCTATTAATCAAAGCTATTCTAAATAAAATCATTAAAAAAACTCGTATTAGTGCTAAATTTTAACTTTTAATAATTAGTATTTATGTAATATTAAGTTATTTATAAAGGTATAATATTTTTGATATTTTCTTAATTTTCATTACTTTACCTATATTTCTTTTAAAGAATTTATTTATCTATACCGATTACTTAAAAATATACTTTTAGACGTGAAAATCAAGATATTGAAGAAGGAGCTGACAGAATACTTACTCAAGTACTTGCACCCCGTTCATTAAGTATTTTTGAACCTAAAATAGCAGTTGCTGTAGATGAATACTTGGGAATCAAAAATGAAGCACCTCCAATTGAACTAAACGGTATGTCTGTAATCATATTTTATAGCTTAATATTAAATTTAATTTATGACCAAGTATATCAGTGTATCCTTTGGCTGACGTATCAGCCAGAGGACACATTTTCTTGTCTTAGAAAAACTAACCCTATGGTTTGTACAATGTTTTCCTAACATAACTTTAAATTCAGCCATGAAAAAGTATAAAGACATTATCACAGATGATGTAGCGTGGTCAAAGTATGCACGTCGCCTCTATATCTAGTTATTGTTCTCTACTTTTAATTGGTCATATTTCCTGTATAATTATAAAATAAATATCATCAATTAATAAAAATTAAAGAACTATGATATACATAGGTCAAATTATTCAATGTTCATTTTCAAAAATAGTATTATATAAAATATTCATTATAATTGTAGTGGCAACTTGGTGATGATACATTATAATTTTTAAAATACTTTTTAACTTTTTTTCATATAAACTTTCAAATTGGTTTAATTTTATAGTGAATTGAACTATTATAAAACTTAAAAGTTAAAATATTGTCTATGTTTATACTTTGGGCATATACAATATTTCTATTTTTAAATTTTATATTTAGATACACATGCATGATTAACAATTAAAATATAATTTAAAACAAATATGCAAACTCAGTCTACAAACAATTTCCTTACTTTTAAGTTTTATAAATTAATATAATCAGACATTATTCTTTCTTATTTATAAGTAACTTATTTATATCCTGTATTTTATGGCACGTAATTGTTGAAACTAATTGTAACAAAGTTATAATAGTGATCTATTCACTATAATATTAAAACTAATAACCCAAAATATTAGTCCTGCTGAAAGAAAATTTCCAGAGACAACATATATGACATATAGACATCTTCAGAAGACATCACAGTTCATGAGTTGTCTCTGTCTTACGTGCATACTACATAGGTAGGAAGTTTTGTTCACTAGTTTTAACAGTGTTCTGTCAGTTTTAATATTAGAGTGAATTGACACATAATAAAACTTTTAGGTAAGAACATTATCGGTGTTCTTTTGTTAGTTTTTATGATATTTTAATTTTTAAATATGTTATATGCTTTTTCAAATATTTATACTTTATATACTCATAATTCATTTATAAATTAAAATATCGTTAAAAACCAATGAAAGATTAAAGATAATGTTCATACCTAAAATTGTGAAAATGGGTCAATTCACTCTACTATCAAAACTAACAGTACACTATTGAAACTAGTGAACATAAATTTTGTATGTAGTACGTATGTTATATGTAGACAACACATGTGAGTGCAACGTCCTCTTAAGAATTGTAATTAATCATAGTTCATAATAAATGTAATATTATAATCTATTTATTTTAATTCCTTAAAATTGATTTTTAAAAGGTATAATTTAAATACCTAAGACTTATAGTTTACCTAAAAGATCACAAATTAAGTTTTATATTAATAACTATTTTTACATTAATAATATATTATAAAAAAAAAAAACAATATTTTAACATTTGTATCAAAGTATTTTGATTAAATAATAATTGTATTATATTAATCTAATGTATTATTTCTAGGATTTAAAGAATCTAGTACGAATTTGACAAAACCATCTAATATTGAAATTAGTACTAAGTCTAGTACAAATTCGATAAAATCATCTAATATTGAAATTAGTACTGTTTTCAATTCCAAAATAGGCAAGTTAATTATACATTATCCATTAGTTCTACTGTTATTAAATTCATTTTTTACTTATGTAATTATAATACAATTTACAAAATTATTTAGATTTTATCGTAGATGCTGACAACATAGTCTGTGATAAAACCCTAAAATATGATAGAAAAGACTTGGGATCAGACAAAAAAGAAATATCTTCCAGTCTTTGTAAAGAGCCAAAATCAGTGAACGGCAATCAAAGTGAAGATGAAAATGATACAGGAGGATCGTTAAAACAAAAAAGTAGCCAACACAAAAATAAAACTTCTACATCTGATAAATCTAAGTCTTCCTCTAACAATCATAAAAGTAGTAAAAAGGATAATAGTTTTAAAGAAATTGTTGACAAATCTAAAGAAGTTATTCATAAGTCTAAAGATGTTATCAAGTCTAAAGATGTTCTCAAGTCTAAAGATATTGCTGACAAATCTAAGGATATTGTTAATAAGCTTAAAGATGTTAGTAAGTCTAAAGATATTGTTGATAAATCTAAGGATGTTGTTAGTAAACCTAAAGACATGGTTGATAAACCTAAAGACATTGTTGAAAAATCTAAAGATAACATTAATAAGCCTAAAGATATTGTTGATAAGACTAAGGAAAAATCATTTTTGTCGAAAAATTCTCATTCTTATACTTCAAGTCATAAAAGTAACCGAACAGATACGAAAAGAACTAAACGTTCTCTTGAAGAGAAAAAAAAATCATCTAGTCTTTGTAAAGAGCCTAAATTATTGAATGGTAATCGAAGTGATGATGAAAGTAATTCAGGAGGATCTTCAAAACAAAAAAATTTTCATAAAAATAAAAGTTCATCATCTGACAAGTCCAAGTCATCATCAAGTAATCACAAAAGTAGTAAAAGAGATAATAATAGTACAGACGTTGTTGATAAGTCTAAAGATAAATCTTTATCCAAGAATTCTAGTAATACTGACATTGTAAATAAATCCAAAGACAAATCTTTGTCAAAAATTTTTGATAAAACTATTGATAAGTCTAAAGACAAATATTTTTCAAAAACTTTGAGTAGTACTGACGTTGATAAGTCCAAAGACAAATCTTTATCAAAGAATTCCATTAGTTCTGACATGGATAAGTCTAAAAAGAGATCTTCGTCAAAAAATTCTAGTTATATAGACATTGTCGATAAGTCTAAAAACAAATCATTATCGAAGAATTCCAGTAGCACAGATGTAACTGGTAAGTCTAAAATCAAATCCTCTTTAATAAAAGATGCTAAATGTTCAGATTTCATTGACAAATTTAAAGACAAATCTTTGTCAAAAAGTTCCAGTAGCTCAAGTCATAAAAGTAATCGTACTGACACTAAAAGACTTAAACTTTCCCGAGAGGAAAAAAATAAATCACCCACAAATGAGGTAAGTGGTGAAGAAAAGAAACCAGAAGAATCAGAAAAATCTGATTGGAATGATTTTCGAAGTTCTATTATGACAAATGACGAACAAGATGCAGCAAATGTATTGTTATCAATGAGTGCAATTTCTTATGAAAGTTCTCATACTGAAATTATAACAGAAAATATCATTTTTATAGAAAATTCTTCTCCTATAACTGACAGTACAATAGTAAATGAATTAAAAGTTGAAAATTCTGATCAAACAAAAGTTCTGCCTTCTAGTGACAATAATGATATTGAAGACAATTCTCAATTAAAATCAAATAATTTAGAAAAATCACAATCACTAGATGTTGTAAAAAGTTTATCAAACATTAACCAGTTATTTGAGAAAGTATGTTCCGTTGATATTGAAAGATTACCATGTAATGATATAAAATTACAATGTAACTCTGTTAATAATGTTGAAATAACTGAAAAACACCAAAAACAGGCTGAAATAGTAGTGGATGAAAAAGAACTAAAAATATTGAATGTTGAAATGAATTTGAAAACAAATACAACTGAAAAATCCAGTGAATGTAATTCTAATGATATTTTAAAAGTACCGAAATTAAAACTAAAACTATTACCAAATCAAATTGATTCTGTGGATAAAATTAAGAGGAAAAAACATCATAAACATAAAGATTCTAAAAAATTGAAGCCTTCAGAATCATTGAATATTCTTGATGAAGTTAGTGTATCAACAAATATATGTGATAAAATAGACCAAGAAACTAACCATGACATAGACATAATAATTAATGATTCTTCAAGTACCTTATCCAATCAAATATTACAYGAGAAAATAGAAAATAATAGTGCAAAAGTATTAGATGATGACAAATCACTTTTCACTTTCAAAGGATTTTCTGAAGCAGATGCTATTCCATGTAAAAACTATACACTATTAAAAAATGTGGTCAAAGCCTTACAAGCACAAATGAATGATCGTGATAAAATTAATGATGGTTTCAAAGGTTTTACCAGTGCAGAAACAAATCCATGTAAACATCGAGATGATGTTTATGCAGAGCTCATTAAGTTGAAAGAAGGTAATTCTAGTACAGGCTTTATAGGATTCTCTGAAAGAGATACTGAAGTGAGTATTGGTTATAAATATGTCGTAAAACAGCTTGAACTTGCCAAAAAACAAAACAATGTAGATAGTCATCAACAAAATTTGAAGTGTGGGGAGAATGGAATCCAGAATGGAAAAACATTTAATGAAGTAATGGCAGCATATTTATATAAAAGTAACAATGATAATGATGAAAAGTCAAAAGAGAATTACAGCAAACCAATTAATGATACAAAAAAAGATAGTCCTACTGTGAATAATAATAATCACAATCATGATAATTGGGTTGTTGAACAAGAAATGAAATATAAACTTTTACCTGTAAAAGTGAAACTTGAAAGACTAATGGAGTATGGATGTAATAGTGAGTAATATATCTACTATTAAATATAATTTTTCTTTTCTAAATTTTCTATTTTCTATTTTCAATTGTATTGTGTTTTTTCAGACGCTAAACGTGTGTCTGATTCTCCACAGCTACCCATATAAATAATGGTTGAAAATACCATTTATAACACAAATCATGTCTTCAATTATTTCTTCAATAATATTTGAAAAGAGGTATGAATAAAAATATAATTATCAATTGTAATCAACTAAATTGTCATTCTCATAATGTGTGAAATTATTTATTTTACTTTCACTGAACATAAAAACTTAAAATGTTTGAAGATGGTTTAAAATTATATTATTATTATATAAATTATGTGATCATAAATTAAATCATGAAATTTTAAATTATCTATTTAAATATTCCTAATTATCAGAAATATTTAAGTCATTTTTTCTCCTTAATTCTAAAACGTGGAACATTTTACTTATTTTAATTTTATTTCCCATATTTCCACACGATTGCCTAGATCCTCCATACCATTCAAAATTGTCCTAGATGAATTTATATATATAATATATAACTTCTATACTCTAGTTGCAAAAACTATAATTCTAAAAAGTGTTAAATTCCCTGTTACATATTAGTTCTTTGACTATGTATTACTATTACAAACTAGTTATACTACAAAATCAACGCTTGTATGGGAATTGGCTGATTTATAAATCTTGTGAAATGATAATATGAAGAGAATTAAGACTCATTAATTTTCTTCATATTTTTATAATACAGAAGTTATTATAACACCCTTAAGAGGACGCCACACCCGCATGTGTTGTCTTCGTCGTACAAGTACGTAGCATAGCAAATTTTACGCTCAGCAGATCACGTTTATCTCCGTTATTTTAAAATTTAGAGTGAATTGACCTATTAAAAAAATTAAAGGCAAGATTATTACCGAGTGCATCTCATAGGCTTTTTATTATATTTTAATTTTAAGGCATGTTATGAGTATTTTTAGATATAAAAATTATTTACAATTTTAAAATACTCATAACTCGGCTTAAAATTAAAATATAATAAAAAGCCTATGAGATGCACTCGGTAATAATCTTGCCTTTAATTTTTATAATAGGTCAATTCACTCTAAATTTTAAAATAACGGAGATAAACGTGATCTGCTGAGCATAAAATTTGGTATGCTACGTACTTGTACGACGGAGACAACACATGCGGGTTTGGCGTCCTCTTAATCTAGAACTAGAGCAAAGACACATAAAGCCTAACCTATGGAAGTCATGAATTCCATGGGTTATTGGTCAAATTTAAAATTATCATTTTTATGTAAAAATTGTTTCCTTTTTGTTTTATTTAGGATCAGAAAGAAGTATATATGTTTAACAAATATGATCGATCAACTAGCAGAACTCAATCTATTTAAGGTATGGCTGTGTTCCTTACCTTTTCATTAAAATCCACAAAAGTAGTTAAGTTATTGTTGTAAATATGGCAGCTATAAATCTGCATTTTGCTAAAATAATAAGTAAATTTAACAATTAAATAAAAACATGATTGAAAATAGCTGTCTTCTCACTCTTTTGTTAACTTATTTATTGTTATTAGTTTTCTTAATTCCATTGCACGATTCAATATACTACAGACATTGTTTAATATCACATGATAAAATATATCTTTAAATTTTGTTGGTAAGTATAGGGATATTTTTTTCCTTTTGTTGCATTGTTACAAAATTTATTTTTTATTTATTATATTATTCAATATTATAGTATCTGATTACATCTTATTTAACTTAAGTTAAGTTTTAAAAAAATATAACAATAATCATTCATCAAATTAAAATGAATTGTGTAAACCGTTCTCTTTATTATTTTTCTTTCTTATATGTTAATTACATTAGTTGGATAAATAAGTGTATGAAAAACTTTCATTTTCTTAAAATATTTATGAAAAAAAAAAAAATCTCCATCATAAATTATATTAATCATTAGTCAAATAAAGTACCTTTTTCTAGTAAATACTAAGTACTTTAAAACATATTATATGTACACTGCCTGAATTAACTTATTGTTTAGTAATTCGAATGGATTCTCTTTAATAATTTTGTAAATTAAATTATCGCTTTGATCAATATTTTATAATTTATTATAGTAAGTTAAGCTAATTTTTACTCATTTTTTTTATATATATATTTGTGTAATTAAATAACATGTAATATAAATTATGTAACTATTTTTTAAATGTCAATTTATTTAGTTATTTTAAAATTAAATTATGGCTTATACTTATATTTGTACATACTAAAAAATATGTATTTACTACCACTAAATGTATAGATGCATTTTGTTAATATGTATTGTTAAAATATTATGTACATTTTTTTAAACTAAATATTTTGTTATTTAAATAATTTACAATAATCATATTATTATTAAACAATATTGTTGTGGAATTATAATTTTCTTTTCAGACTAAATTATAAAGTAACAATATCATTTGCTTGATATTTTTTATATTTATTGTTTGGTTTTCAAGATTTTAGATAAGTTAATACCAGATATCATAGTAAAAACAGCAAACAAATTGTATGAGGTCAGAGGTGAAATTCCGACAAAATATGTTTTATTAATTATTATATCTTTAGTTTTTTTTTGGTGTGTACATTTTGCTTATGAATACTTCCGAGATCTGAAATAAAGCCGTTATGGTAGATAATAATAATTCAAATCTATGTATCACGGACTAAGATATAATGGACTGGCATCGAATAGGCTGGGGGAGTAGGAGGGACCGAGCATCAAATGTTATGTTATCTTCACCTCTCCACCATCATACAAAAGTCCGAATGATTAGAACGCCATATAGTGGTAATATTCTACAAATAGGCCGCGAGCAGCCAGCAGCGTAAAATTGGTTATTCTTTTGATGCACTGTTTTAGTGCTTTTAGCTTTAGCCTGTTAGTACTTTGTAGTTCCATTTTCCATTGTATTGTAAATATTTGTTATTTTAAATTTATAATTATTTTGAGATTAATTTTATCAATATAATGGGCGTGTAGATAGCGCTAAAATCATTCGGACTCAAATTCCCCCCGCACTCCCGCGTCGCGATACATTTTCGGCTCACAGATATTGCACTCGATGCCAGTCCATTATATCTTGGTCCGTGCTATGTATGCACGTCATCGATAGTAGCCGACCAATCAAAAAACAATTACTAATTTTGTGGGAGGGGCATGTAGTTCCGCCCACGATTTAAGATATACAGGTTGCACAACGAAGACAAATATTGTGACTCAAGAACTGACACTTCAAAAAAATTAACTCTCAACGCTCCTTGCGGGGAAAATAGTATTTCAGTGTCGCCACAGCTAGGGAAAATTTTTATTATTATCTAAGGAAATTTGTTTTATTTTAAATTATTATATAAGATTATGTCTTTTTCTTATTGTTATTCATAAAATAAAGTATCCAAGTTCAAGTATAATAATAGAATAAATAGTATAAAATCAGAAGTTGAATCAAATGACAAAAAAAAGCGAGGCAAAATTTCGAAATAGATAATAATATAAGATCTTTAATCATAGGCGTTTTGCTTATTTCGACACCGGGAGCGCTAATGCTATATTTTTGACAGCTGTTTTATAGTGTAATTTTTAAAATCACTGTGGGACGCTATTAAACATAGGTCGTTGTGCAACCTGTATAATGTATATCTTAAATCGTGATTCCGTCTGATGACAATGCGCAACGCAGTGCGTCTCGTTTTCAAAAAATATTTTATTTGAAAGGTATATTGTCATTATCTGACTCATAATTCTTATTTGCTACTGAATTGAATGATTCTGTTTGAACTTTAAACAGGCTGAAGTCATCTCTATATATAAAAATGAATCCCTATTTCCCTTAGTCAAAGCAACACGCGTCAACGGCTGAACCGATTTCGTTCATTTTTTTTTAATTGCGTTCGTAGGTTAGGTTAGGTTTGTCGGGAAAAGGATCTTATGGATGAACAATTATTTAAGAAAGATACTGGGTTAAAGAAGTATGACGCGGTGGAGATGAAATTACAGTTGCGCCATCTTTCCACCAACAGTGAGCGAAATAATAATAATATTTTTTTGTAATCAATGGTAACCATTTAAATAAACAAAACACAAAATAAATCATCTATTCAAAGTGTTTTTTTGATATTCTGGTAAGGTTGTTTTTAAAAATGCCAGCAATTAGACTTACAAACTTAAGTCACGGAACTAGATTAGATACAGTACAAAGATATACAAGAGCATAATATGAAACTGACAAACAACATAAAACGTGGTATGAACGTAATCAAAATCGACAACAAATGAATGCTGTGTTCCATCCCTGTCAAGCTGCATTAAATTATAACGTGGAAATCGATTACAGTTCACAGCAAGTTGCTATTGGACCAATGAACGTTGTGTGTCAATATTGCAAGGCATTTAAGATTAATAATGAAAACCCTGGATTGTGTTACTCTAGCGGTAAAATCAAATATATTTATATGTGTATTGACGCGATTTGTATCATGTGATGAGGAAACCTGGTAAATAGGGATTCATTTATATTTATAAAGATAGATGGGCAACGAAGTGAACGGCTTCACCGATTTCGTTAGTTATTTTTGTTGTATTCATAATTGTCAGGAGAAGGTTCTTATGTAAGAAAAATTGAGAAAGTTACCGGGTTAGGGGAATATGACAAGGTGGTGATGAAATTATAGTGGCGCCATCTGCTCAGCAAAAATAAGCTAAATAATAATATTTTTTGTAATCAATGGCAACCATTTAAATTATTTTTTCAAGAAAATCAAGACAAATTTGTTTTAAAACTGTTTTAAATTGTATCACAATTCACATTAGGGTTATTTTTTTATCTATACTGTTGTCTAATTCAAGTTAAGAATAACTAAATGTGTTCTATAAGTAAATTAATAAATCACAAGCATTAGTATGTTTAATAGGCAATTCATATGAAAATAAAATAAATACAAATGGATTTCTGTCTGTTTATCCTTTATGCATTCCCATTAGTGGACCGGTTGCGACGAAATTTGATATAATTATAATAATTCTTGCAGAATGTTTGCGACAGTACGATCCACGGCTGGATGTCCTTTCAGGTCGTGCGCGGCGACCACTAAACTCTTCCGCATCGACCTCGGCATCACAAATAGTAGCTTGTCTTTTAACTTCCGGTACAACAACCCACTTTCTAGCACAAAGTTCTTGTCTCTGGGACCAGAATCATCCGAATCATTCCTTAGGCCTCGAATCAGCTCAGATAGTTCTTCATCAGCAGTTTGGCACATCCGGACTTTATCTTCTGTAGTGAGCACAACACACACGTCCCACCTGTCCTTCAACTCAGAGTCAACCGGAATCACTTCCCCCACAGCCGGGTCAACCGGTGCCCTGGACAGAGCGTCGACGTGACTCATCCGGGTTCCAGACCGATATTTGACCGAAAAGTCAAATTCTTGGAGTATGTCGTGCCAACGTGCCACTTGAGCATTTGTGCCCTTGAACGAGTTTAGATAGACCAAGGCCTGACAGTCCGTATAAACTACAAAATGCATTCCTAACAAGAACTGTCGTAACTTGTTAGCTGCCCAAACTACACACATCAACTCCAGTTTGCTAGAATGGTATTTTGACTCCGCCTCACTTGTCCTTTTACTTACACAATATATCAGTTGCAAGGGTTCGCCAGTTCCCCTGGACTGCAGCAACATGGCACCGAGCCCAACCGAACTCGCGTCGGTATGCAATTCAGTGAYACCGGCCGTCTGGTCGAACATTCCGAGTATCGGYGGCCGTGTCAATACGTCCCTTAACCTTTGGAACGCGTTAACCTGTTCTTCTCGCCACGAAAAGTCCACGTTCTTCTTTGTCAGCCGTGTAAGCGGTTCCGCTATGATAGCATAACCTTCCACGAATCTTCGGAAGAACCCGGTAAGTCCCAAGAAACGTTTCAGCGACGACACATCCACCGGAGTAGGGAAATCCGAAATTGCTCGCGTCTTCAACTCACCTGGTTGTATTCGACCACTGCCAATTACAAATCCCAAAAATTCGATCTTCCTCGCGCCGAAAACGCACTTCGACGGTTTAAGCGTCAGRCACGCGTCCCTCAAACGATCRAACACCATACGCAATTTATGCAACATGTCCGACCAATCGTCGGCRTCTACGACCATATCGTCCAGATAGTTCCGAACGGTCTTACCATGTAATGGCCCCAACACATGGCGCATTAAGCGAGTGAACTCGGCAACAGCTCCCGATAGTCCAAACGGCATACGGACAAATTGTCCGGTAGTATCTTCCGTTATGAACGCTGTTTTCGCAGACGCGTCTTCTGTCATCGGTATCTGTAGATAACCACTTGCTAGATCGAGTTGAGCAAATAGTTTGCTCTTTCCTAACGACTGCAGTTGCTCGTTCATGTCAGGTAACGGAAAGTGCTGACGTAGCGTTTGTTTGTTTAAGCGCCTGTAATCAACRCAAAGTCTATGTTTTCCGGTACCTTGTTTCACAAGAATTACGGGACTGGCGTAGGGAGACCTCGTCTCTGTCACTAACCCACACCGCTTCCAGTCACTAACGATCTTGTCTATCTCAGCCCTATCGGTTGCGGTCGTCTTGTACGGTCTGCATACTACTGGCTTGCTCCCAGGCACTTCTA